TCGAATGATATACTTTTTGTCCGGGTCAGGTCAACTTGGGGTGTTGACCTCAGGTCAAGGTCAGGTCAGCACCCCCAGGTCACGAAGTTGGTCGAAAGAGGTCATGTCGCATATCATTCGATTCGGCAGGCCTTCCTGAGTCCATTGGTGGCTTTCCCGACTCGCTAGCTCAATTTGATCAAGAGTTATTGACGAAAAACTAATATGACCTTGATGACGTCATAAATGACGTCACGCAAGGTCAACATTGCAAAAGTGACACATCTAACCTTGCAAGGAGTGCATCAAATCACGATTCTGTGTGCTTGAGACAGTTGGAGATCGTTCCCGGCGCCAGAATAGCAGTTTTCATTTTTCCCCATTGACTTATAATGGTGAGGTCACGAAAATGACCTGACCTCATATGACCTTTAGGAAAAATCCGAGATATACAAGTTGTGGGACTCATAATGGATACTAGATCCTGCAAGTTTCATTTCCCTGTGACATCTCCTCTGGCAGTGAGGGCGTTGCGAAGTTGCGACATCTGAAGACCGTGCAGAGGTTCACTTATGACGTCATAGGTCAGTGACCTGACCTGACCCAAAAATGCGGTTGGTGTCAAAAGATCCGGCTTGGATCAAAGGTCAGGTATGCCAAGTTTCAGCTCTCTATCGCCAGCGTTTTCGGAGCTATCACGAAAAAACCCTATGGGGGGGGGGGGCAGCACCCGCCCCCCCCCTCGGCCGGCGAGGGTTATAGCAGCTGGCCTGTGGGTGATGGAAGACCGACAGTGGACCCTCCGTTCGCCCGTGCGTCCACCGTTCGACCTGTCTCCCGGGTGCTCTGTTTGCAGTCCTCGCTCGCCGCCTGTCTCCAGACCGAGCTGCAAGGTCCCGGATGGCTTGGGGAGAGCGTTAGTTGTCCGGTCTCTCGGGACTTACTCCTACATTTGATTGGCTGGCTCTGTGCTGCGCTGTCCTCCGATGGTGGCTTCCGCTGCAGCTGAGCTAGACGGCTGTGGGTTGACTGGTGAGACCGCCCGGAGTGTGCGTCTTGGCCTCCGGTCACCCGTGACAGCCTGTCTGCTATAGTCCGTCCCCCCAGCGTCCCTGGGCTGCTCTGCAGGACAGGTCGGTCTCTCTGTGTGGTCGCAGAACTGTCACTGATGCAACTCGGCTGTCTTTAGTGTGGTCTGTCTGTCAATGATGACTGCTCCGCGCCCGCCTATCTCTTGTGCGTCTGTCTGTGTGCTTGAAGGCACTCTTTCGTATCTCCAGCACGTGCCCTACCCGTGCTCCTGTCCGCCTGACTGTGTGACCTAGCTCAGAGTCCTCGGCTGTCAGGAGTTCAGACACTATCTCGGTATCTCCTCTGGTGATCCCACTGTCGGGAGGCTGTGTCCGGAGACGGCACTGCCAGTTCTGACCGCCCACCGACCTGGCTCGACTGGTCCTACTGCGACAGCCGCCTCCTTGTGTAGACAGAAGCTGGTCGCGCGAGTCGCTGGCTGCGCTCTCCGGAGTCCGAACATGGTCCTCCCGTCAGCCCGTCTGAATGGGATGGCTGTCTCGGGCTGGGCGTTATCTCGGCGCTGCGCAGCACAATTCCAGAGCAGCACAGTGTAACTGAACTCCGTGGCACGGAGGCACCGAGCATCCTGTCACTCTTGTTGGTTGTTACGATTTGTTCAAGGAATTAAGCTCTGTCGGTGTTCATTGATGTTCGGTCGCCCAGTGGAAATATGAATCTCGTGTTGCTCCACCACCTTTCCCCGCTACTCTGAGCTTCTTGTGAAGAAGAGCACAGCACAACTGGACCTACTCTTTTACCCGACCGACGACAGAACTCCTCCGTTAGAGTCTGACCTAGTCCGGTTTATTGACCCATTCCGACCGCGTGTGCAGAACCGTTCGCGGAGAGCGGGTCGAATCTCATCAGTCGGCCAGTCGGCCACCGCCCCCGAACCGCTGCTGCCGGCGCCGACCGGCGCTCAGTGCCGACTGGTGCTCGGTCGACGTGACCGGCCCCGAATATATATCACCAGCTCTAAGCGTCGGTCCCTCACCGGGCCTGGGCGGAATAATACATCAGCCGCCGACCCGAGCGGCCGCCATTCCTCAAACGCCAGACGGACTGATTTGTTGCACGCTCGAAGTTGAGAGCAGCTCGCGGACAAAGACTGGGCTAACGGGGCGTATTCTCCGGGATATTTCAGGGCACAGTTCGGGATGACGTGACGGGTCCAATATGGCCCAGATAAGGCCCGAAGGGACAGGTTAGCTCTCCCGACCCCGTGACATTTCCACCGGAAGATTGGTTCTCGCTAGTGGGGATGAGATAGTGTTGCAGCGTATCGGGTGGCTGCCTGGTTCTGTCCAGTTGAAGCTGGTGCGGTATTGTATTCGGTCTTGGTTCTAGGTGTTTGTCTAGTTCAATTATGTGGGGGTTGATGCGGTGTAATTTAAGTCGTCGCTGCTGGGTCTTTGTGTGACTCTCGCTGGTTGCGAATGACGATGAGGCAAGACAGTATTCGGTCGTCGGCACTGGGGCGTTATCTGGCTCTATCCGGCTAGAACTGTTGCAATGTTGTGCTCAGTCTGCATCTGTACCATTGCCGCGTCCGTTCGTAGAACGACTCTCGAAAATGCTATCAAAATACCACACTTTCGATCAGTCGGTGTTGCTAGAAAAGCTAATCTCCAGCCAATCTTTATCATCACAAACCAACGTCAATCGATGCCCCCAATAATGCTGCTCCCTGACCACCCTCAGGCTAACCCCAATGCGTTCTCTGGTGACCGCTCCATTGCTCAATGCTCGACCGAAGCCACCGACTCTACCAGTCGGTGGCTATCGATGTCACGACTCATCATTGCGCCACTGTTCACCACGGGTTCCATGCATACCACGACATTGGGCAACGCTTGCGGGGTTATCATCGCGGCCAGGCGGCCACCGTTTGGTCAGCTCAGCTCGGTACCTAAAAAACTCCAATTTTCCACACGGCCGGTCGTAGACTGCTGTCTACTGCTGCCTGGCGTTAGTGACCGCCGACAGTCAATGGTTTGGCTCAAAGATTGCCGGCCATCCACCCAGTAATGTGTTGGACGCCGTGGCTGGCTCTCCCGGGAGCCGCCGCTGCCGCCGGAGACGACCAGTGTTTACCGTACCGTGATCCGGCGAACCGACCGGGACGGTCGGCCTTGTCATCGGGTGCCTCGGGGTCAAAGGGTAACTGCGGGGGAAGGGGGCTGCTGTTGGTTGTCATGGTCGCTCCGCAAGGCCTGCTTCTGGGTTGGGGAAGCGAAAATATAGTCTATTTTTTTGTATCTCAGTTTTGCTATTTTCTTCGCTGTTTTAAGCGTTTTAATGCTGTCGTATGACTTGCAGAAAGCTGCCTTTTATTTTTAGCGAATAGAGCTTCTTGAGCTTGAACAATATTACTTCTATAACCAACCAGCAGCCACGCTACCAGCCTGCAAGCTGCAATGTTGACCATATGTGATAAGCACCACGCTGGCCTCACTCCGTGACCAAGGACGCGGCAGCGGCACGAGCTCTATCGGCCCTCCGTCTCTGGGTATCGACTGTGGCGTGACATCATCACATCGCGTCATAACCGATCCTCAGAGACGGCACCTAGCGAGAGCTGTTACCAAATCATAAACTCCAAACGACGCTCGACGACGGATCGTTGATGTGCCGATCGTGGATCACATTTCTGACAGTTTGAGCGATAATTTTTGACAAATTAACCGTCTGGTTGTCACTGATGACACTCAGTCGAGCTCCTCTGGCGCGCTATGGGTTCCGTCACTGTCCGTGACGTGACGGAGCGGCGTGACGGTGACTCGCGCGGTCCGTGACGGTGCCCGTGACCGTGACTTTGGGCCGGCTCAGTTACCGATTTGTGCCGCCGACTAGTGCGCATTGTCCTGGCCATGACCTGTTCATGTGATTGTGTCACTTGACTGACGAACCGTGCGGTCGTGAGCGCTCAGCTTTATAGTATGGTGGTTATGATACCTTGATATTTGAATATTCAACTGAAGTAGACGTACTAGAATTCGGTATGTCTATGAGTTATGGGTTACACCACAGCTAACACCCCGAGCATTAGCAAATCAGACTTACGAGCACCGGTGAACGGTTACCGTGCATGCAAATGTCGGGCACCGTTGTGTCGGCATCTGTGATGTAACGGCCTTGTCGGTAAACCTCAAAATAACATTTTATCAACGTATTTTCATGGTTTTCAGTAGCATAAACCCCGCGCCGCGCCCATAACCTTAAGTCCTGAAATATTTTAAAAAGGACAAAGAGTTGTCTGGTCCGTACTAATCCCAACACTAAGCATCCTTTTTCCGTTATTGTAATTTTATTTTGGCTGGCGTGTTTCCGTTTCGCCTCAGGCCGTGACAGATTGGGACGATATTGCCCTTGCCCCGAGTCCCGCTGTATTTCGCCGAACAAAGCCCAGTGCCGTCTGCAGAAAACAGGCGTGCTCGGCCCGGCGTGCCACTGTCACGCGCTGGGGGCGCTGCCTCACTGAACTTCTGCGTTTGTCGATTGGTGTGTCTTTGTGATGCGGCTGTGGCGATTCAGCGCAATGTTTTTGGAAGTCTGTCTTCTAGGCCAATGTGCAACAACGTGACCATGACATTGACATTGTTTTCTGCTCACGAAATGTCACGTTCGTATACAACTGTCCTAAATCACTGCTGTCAGCAATTCACACATTAAAAAGAAAAGAAATCAAGCCTGAACTTTTTAACAGAAAAGTTTGTTGCATAGCACCACGAAGCCGCCACCCTTTTCCCTCCAATCACAACTTAGCCACTTATCCCTCCAGCCATGCACATGCGTTGCATCGCCAGTGGCTGTGTCCCATCTAAACATTCTGTCTCTGTGATTGCAGCGTCGGAAGCGGTAGGTATGTTTCTCATCTAACCCTCCCCTTGTCTGTTACATCTCCGGCAATGAGTCCCATCTAACCATCTCTTTCTCTCTGTTCACAGCGTCGGTAGCGGCGGGCCGCCGCCGGCAGCTGGAGGCGCGCCATGGACGGCCTGCGAGCCATGGACGTGCTGCCCCTACTGCGGGACCGGGTGGCGCTGCTGACGGGCGCGCGGGACCCGCGCGGCGGGCCCATCCTCACCTTCCCGGCCAGCGCGCGCCGAGACCGCACCGGCCACGAGGACCTCATCCAGCTGATGCAGTACATGTACCAGATACCCAGGTACGTGGGAGTGCAGTACAGAGCTCAGTACATGTATGATGTACCAGATGCCCAGGCATGGCTCGGGGTGGAGTGCATGTATCAGATACTGAGATACAGGGCTGATGATCCCTACCCGCGGGATGAGAATCCATGGACATCTCATTGGGATTCAGTCCTCGTAAGCAATTGCTACGAAGTTTAGACCGCTCGCTAACGTACAACTGCCGCGCTCCGTGTGATTACCTTCACTTACCGTTATTGGAGTAGGTGCTACTATCAGCTCAATAATCTTGGGCGCTACCACTTAGACGTCGGCCTCATGCATATCGATCTAAGCACTTGTCAAGTGGCATGGCTTAAAACGCACTTACTCGACATGGGAGCTGTTCTCAAAAGAGTTCAGCTGCTCTAAAGGTATCTCACGCCTACTTTGTCCGATAATTAGCACTCTTTGTAATTAAACATGGGCAAATGATGGGGCCGACGCGCAGTACTTTACCAGTACTCACGGTAATTAAGCCCTGCGTTCCACCTGAGGCTTGCAGTACTCCGCACAACTGATAATCGTCTGCACTTATAATCATTTGCCTGCAACATCGTAGTGCCGCGCGAACATTCTCTAACGAAGCCGATTCGTCTCAGGGTAGGTACTAGGCATTCCGCCACCCGACCGCAACTGAAGCAAGTTTATGTAGTTTCCGGACTGATAATTCTGCTTGTTTTGGCCGCTCGCTGCAATGTCGCCCACCGAATGCCTAGTATGCAAACGGCTCTAATCTTAGCCTCATTATTCAGGACTTTTACAATGCATGTCGTCATAACTCATGGTCGACATGTCGTCCTTGCTTTCAATGCCTGTCATTAAGGATACTTTTGCTCATAACTTGGCCCGATCGAGCCTAGGACCGAGTATCGCCTACACTGGCTCCATTACACGAACTGATGTTATTTCGCACGTCGTGGCCGTATGTAAAACCACCCGATAGAACACCTGTCACTGAGTTCATTGGCGTACTCTGTCACGACGCTCATGCATACATCCATGTGAGAGCAGGGGCGCCATCAGGGCGTGGGTGCGCTGAGGCTGACCTTCCCTCGGGCGTCTGCACGTGGTCGCTTTGTCCACCCGTCGGCCGACGCTGCGGGCGGGCGGGCAGCGGTTCTTTTCGACGCCGGTGGGGTGGACTGGGCTGGAGGCGTACGGCTGCACTGGACGGGCGAGTTCCCTTTCGTTGGCGGTCACCGACTGGTCGGCCGACGAGACAAAGGCTGGGCAGGCGCTGCCGCGGAGGGGCGTCAGTGTCCAGTCACGGAGGCTGGACGGGTGAGGTGGAAACTGATTGTTTTTGTGGTCATGAGTGTACGGCGAACAAATGGAGGGGATGAAAAAAACTAGGGGAGGTGGTATGATAGTAACTTCATCCAACTGCATGGGGAGGAGTCGTTTTACCGCAAGTTATTTTGTTTACAGCAACTGTTGATCGTTCTAAGGCATCCGACTGCCCCCAAACTAGATTTGTCATGTAAACATAGCCCGCATCTGCAACCCGACCAAGGCTCAGTCCCTACCGTCTCTCCCCGTCGGGCGCAGTAGATTTTCCACAGCTGTAGTAGAATCACTCGGCTGCCATATGTAGGGCATTTCGTCGCGTGCGTGCCGGCGGCGCCGGCGTCGCTGCTCGGCCGCTGATGTCACTTGGCGGGCCGGCGCGTCGACCGGCCTGTTTGTCCGAGGCCGTTTTTACAGTCGAGACGAATGGCCGGGATGTGCCGTGGAGGACGGCTGGGGTGGCTCACCGCCGCCGGAGGGCTGACAGCGCCGCGCGCCGCGAGCCGCAGATGGAATGACCCGAGTCGGGCGCCGCTCGGACGGATGGCGACCGCTGGATAAGCACCATTACGGCGACGGGCGGCTGTTTATGTTGTCAGGCCGCGCCCGTGTTGCGCGCGGGTCGGATACTGCTGACCGGTGCAGGACAGCAGCGTCGGTCGTCGTCCGCCGTCCGCCGTCCGCCGCGTCGGTCGTTCCGCTGAGTCACTGGCGCGTCGGCGTGACACGCCGGCCGACGTAGTGGCGATCGCTCAGCGGGGCTGCGTTAGCTGTCACCACGGTCACCTAACGTAATTCACTATAGTAGCTTGTTTATGTTTCGCATTTCGTGGTCCTCGTTCAACTACGTTGCAATGAACATACGCGACGTGATGATCATATGACATGCAAAACATTTGCAGATAACCGGATGTTTCTTGATCCAGGGTCGATACAGCACGATTTGATGCATATCTAGGATTATGTCGAGGTTGCACAACCATGTTTTGGAGTCCACCCAGGGTTGACGGACGATGGCTATGACTCTGTAGAATTTGCAGAACCATGTTTGAATCCCCCCTAGATAGCGGACGTTCTGTGTGGGGTCTGCCTGATAAAGCTCTCCCATGTTGCGAACTGCTGTTGTGCCCGTCGACCGAGCCCTGGGTCCTGGCTCGTGCTGACTGGGACAGCTGTGTCGGCCCGCCATGTGGCGAGATGGCCGTCCTCTGCAGCGGCTGCCCTTGGCCGGGCACCAGCTGCTCACCGGGCCTGTTCGAGCCGCCCCCCACTCTGGGGAGGGGGTGATATTGATTCACGGTCATGCCGGGTGCTGCAGGGAGGGGCGGTTTTTCCGGTCGGGCAACCAAGCGTACACCAGCGTGTATCTGTTGTGGGTATAATCCGTGTGCTGAGGGGATATGTCTTACGAAGAGGCACGCCACTGTGAGTTGGATCCGCCACCGGCGCCAGATCATTGCTGATCTCTGACGATAGCCAGGTGCTGTCCGATCTGTCCGATCAAGTGATCGCCCCTGTCGGGGTGTGAGCCGGTCCCTGGCCGTCTGCCGGCGCGTGTCGGCCCCGGGCTGAAATCGATGTGCCGCCGACACGGGCTCGGCGTCGCCGCCGGGACCGACGCGGGCCTCTGTCCCCGGCCAAGGCCGTCCTCGGTCGCGGCCGGCCGGTGATTCACGGTGTGACGTCATTGGTCTACAATCTGACGTCATTGTTGGCCCAGTGACGGTCATTGATGGACGAGAATAGGGAGTAGGAAAGCACGTGAGATGCTTTGGTGGACTGCCCTCACGCTTTTCATATTGTCAAAAGCACTCGTAGCTCCCCATGTGTTTGCTAACTTCCTATCGCTTCCTGGCGCGCCGGTTTTTATGCCAATGGCGATCACAGTTGATTTCCAGTCATATACCGATCAATGTAGAAAATGTTCTTTAGTGTATTTCCAGTCATATACCGATCAATGTAGAAAATGTTCTTTAGTGTGTCTACATTTTATCCTTTGTGGAGGGGGTAGAGTGGTGGCCTGTCTAATGGGCTCTGATTGGTAAACTTTCTGGTGATAGTCCGCCGCCGAAGTACCAATCGTTCGGGACTCGTTTGGTCTACGGACAACGAATGGCTACCGCTCCCTATAATCCAAATAAACAACGCCCGGGTCTCATATTCGGGCCGCTGCTTATGACACCATTAAAGACGATTTTGGCCTCCTTCGGCCGTACATATTGCGTGAGAATACGGCATCAATCACAGTAATGGGCCACCCTGAATGATCCAATCAACCGAGCAATATAAAATACTGGCCCACATGGGACCGCGTCGCAAAGAACATATGCCGCGGCGCTGGCCCTGAATGTCTTTTGTGACCAATATTCACGTACATGTATCTATCATATGTCATTTTAGGTACCTCGCAGTGATAACGTATGTCGCTGCGAGGTACCTAAAGTAAAGTTTGTCGGCACTTTGGCTTTTTGAAGGGTGTTTAGGGACTATTCCGTAAATCTGGGCGACGTGATATGCCGTGAGAAGTTAATATGATGGAAACATTGCTTTTTAAAATATTTGTCAGAATATTATGTGCTAAATATTTGTCAGCCCATGCAGTGCCCCCTACCACCCAGTTAATCTCGTCTCTCTCCGTGTGTCTTCAGCGATGAGTCGCGCGACCTCGGCTTCACTGTGGTGATCGACATGCGCAACTCGACCTGGGAGAAGATCAAGCCGATCCTGAAGGTGTTGCGCGACCACTTCCCCGGCCACGTGTACACGGCCTACATCCTGAAGCCGGACAAGTTCTGGCAGAAACAGCGCACCAGCATCGGGAGCTCCAAGTGCAAATTCGAGGTGAGTTGTGAGCTGTGAGTGGTGAGTGGTGAGTGATGAGCGGTGAGCTGCTAGCTATGAGTGTTGACTTGTGCATTCTGAGCTTGTCAATGGAGTTCCTTTGAGTCGGCGATAATGGATGTCGTTAGTCTTTGTGTTGGTGCCGTGGCAAGTGGGAACGTCTTACATTCTTGTAAGCTCAAAGCTTTTCAGTTCTTTTTGGTGGTCAGTAATGTGAGACCACTGTTCCTTGGCGCTATAAAGGTCGATCCTTCCGTATTTGTTCTATCCCATTGAGTGTTGTTTATCTGTGGATCGTCTACCGTTTGTCTTGTGGAGCGGAGCTGGCGGGACGAACGGCCGAGTGTGGTTCGGTTAGATCCACTGGTAGGATGGTGTCTGTTTTACGGTCTGGGCTGGGCGTTTTTATCTTCGGGGCTAATTGCGGCTGTGCTGTGGAGCTGTTTCTTTATAGTCGACAGTGGGTCACTGTAACATGTACGATGCTAGCAAATATGCGTACCTATCCGCTCGCCATTTGTATGCTGAGTTAGTAATTAGTATGAATGAATAGCTCGAAATTTTACGATGGTTGATGCCGAAAAATGGATTTCCGACTGACATCTTTAGTGTACACCAGCAAGGCACTAAGGGCGGATCACCGTATCTTGTCTCTTGTGTCCTGTATCTTGTATCCGGACCCGTCCTGCCGGCCTGCGGTTCGCCGCTGCGAAATATCGACCTCCTCTCGGGCCGGGCCGCCCCGGTCCGGGCCGGCGACGGACGTTGTTTACGAACAGCCCGGGTCGGGCTCGTCTTCAGCCGAACTCGGGGTCGCCCTGTCGCGCCCACTCAAAGCTCCCCGCCTCTGTCGCCTCTGACGGCTCCCGTCCTCTGTCCATTCCTGCCACTCGGCTCCTCTGCTATTTACTTGCAGCTCCTACAGACCGCATAAAGAAGCTAGCTGTTCTTTCTTTTTGTTAACAAAATTCCCACCCACCCACTCTTCTACTAACCGCTCGCCTCCACCCACTGACCACCCACCACTGCCTCCCACCAAAACCTCCCACTGCCGCCCGCCGCTTCCGTCGCCCACCGCCTCCCCCCATCCCCCACCACCTACCGTCGTGGCCGCTCTGTTTATCGCTGTGAGATGCCCCGCGGCGTCCGGGACCACCGCCGGCAGATTGCGAGACGGTATGGGCGCCGGCCGATGACACAGCTGAGGTCGCATATAGACGGTATGGGCCGCCGTCACAGCTTAGAACGCATGTAGAGCGGTATGAGCTGCTGACACAGCTGAGACCGCACATATACAGTATGGGCCGGCTGTTGAGGTCGCATAGAGCTGGTATGGGTGCCGGCCGGGACCACCGCCGGCCGATGGCGAGACGGTATGGCCGCCGATGGATGACACAGCTGAGGTCGCATTTGAAATTTGAAGGGCATGGGACACATACGTTGCCGAACCCACATATTTCTTATTCCATGAACGGCCAACATTGTAAATGTCACACACATTCAGCAGGCATGAGCTATATAAATCATTGGGCTCACACGTGGAACTACCTTCATCTCACCGTCTGAAAGCTGGGTGAGGGGATGGGAATGCAACGTTGGACGATGACTTCGTTTATGCGCTGTATGGCGGCGATAGGTATCTTTTGCGGTGACGTTAGGTTGCATCAGACATGCCTATGATATCATATGTTTGTGATGGGAAGAAGTGTTTGTTTATTCGTACGTCGGGAATATCCTGCCGTGTGAGGCGCATTTATAGTCGAGAACAGTGCAGCGTTTGTGTATTGAGTTGTTTCCCGTTAGATTGACGGCTATGTGTGCGTTTCCCCACCTCGTAACGTTTCAATGCCCGCCCGCCCCGGCAGTTTCCCCACGACTGACACGCCCCCTTCTTCCGCAGACGAACCTGGTCGGCCTGGACGGCCTGCACAAGGCCATCGACCCCGGCCAACTGACCTCTGACCTCGGCGGCTCGTATCCGTACGACCACTCCACCTGGGTGGAACTGAGGAGGGTAGGTGGCCGGGGGGGGGGGGGTCGTATCCGTACGACCACTCCACCTGGGTGGAACTCAGAAGGGTAGGTGGCCGGGGGGGGGAGGGGCGGGGCGGCTCGTATCCGTACGACCACTCCACCTGGGTGGAGCTCAGAAGGGTAGGTGGACGTCGGAGGGGGGGGGGGGACGGCTCGTATCCATACGACCACTCCACCTGGGTGGAACTGAGGAGGGTAGGTGGCCGGGGGGGGGGGGGGGCGGCTCGTATCCGTACGACCACTCCACCTGGGTGGAGCTTAGAAGGGTAGGTGGACGTGGGGGCTCGTATCCGTACGACCACTCCGCCTGGGTGGAGCTCAGAAGGGTAGGTGGCCCGGGGGGGGGGGGGAGGGCGGCTCGTATCCGTACGACCACTCCACCTGGGTGGAACTGAGGAGGGTAGGTGGCCCGGGGGGGGGGGAGGGCGGCTCGTATCCGTACGACCACTCCACCTGGGTGGAACTGAGGAGGGTAGGTGGCCAGGGGGATGGTGGGGGGGGGGATGTCAACTGTAGGTGAGGCGTTGGTTTAGTTTGTTTCTAAATCATGTATAATTATGTAGTTATGCGCCGAAGGGTTTCGCCGCTTTTATTTCCTGGAATACCGTGCTGCTGCCCGGACACTGAAAAATAATGAAAATAAAATGCGCCTGAGGCAACGCCATTCAGAGCAGCAAAGCGTCATTAATAGCCATCCCGCAGCATTAAACCGCTGGCCAAATCGCTGTCTGCGTCAACACTAATTCACTTAGGCGGGAAGTTTGTATCGATGCCTCGCACCACCGAGCCTCAACTCGTGGTCGGCACGCGTCTACCCGTAACTATCAGTTCGGATCGTTTGTCGGAGCTGGTTACCTACCGTGGGGTGCTGGTGGGCTCATGCCCACACTACCACTCCTAGCGTGCGGCTGTGCCTCTCCGGCCGGCCGGTGGGTCACGCCGCGGGCACATCGAACACAGCGGAGACGTGACCGGGAGCGGGCGATATCGGTATTCTGGTGACGCTGCCGGCTGGTGGGAGAGCTCTCTAAAGGTCACCGATGACACTCCTCTGGTGCTATTGTGGGCTGCTGCTGCCCAAACTGAAACGGGATGAATTAGGGAGAGTTGGATGCCGGTGGAATAGGTATTGTTCGGAGATTGTGTTCAAAGTCAGAACTTTTGGAGAAAATGTATCATGCAGTGCTACTTTGGCTTGACGTTTGGATGCTGTGCCATGTGCTTACTCTTAGTATCCTGTAGTAAAAGAAGTTAGCGCCAAGTAATCTCGTTTTATCAGCCAACTCTCCTCGGGGTTCCCCAGGCTGGTCTAGGATTGATTCAATGAAATTTTCTATGAATCTTGCACTCCTTGCTCAATCGCCTACTCAGTAAGTTTCCTGCATCTACTTTTATTTGTTCATTATTTTCGGTTGTCATTCATCTCAGCTTATTTTGCATCCGTCTTGAAGGCGCTTTATTAGTTAGTGCAGTTTTATCGCTGGCTTACCTCCGCGAGCTACTTCTATGGCTAACCTCATCCTTTCCCCGGTCTGCCGAAAGGCCGGGAGACTTCCCAACCCTGCCATCTCCCTGGCCCAGAGTCGATGGAAGATTCCATCATTCCCTAATTCCGTACCCCAGTCGGTGGGTGACCTGATCTGACCTCGCCCCTCCCCTGTTCCGCAGTCGGTGAAGGACGTAACCTGAGCTCGCCATGCCCCCTCTTCTACAGTGGGTGGAGGCCTTTCTAACTTCCGCCCCTCCCCTGTTCCGCAGTCGGTGGAGGACTTTCTGTGGCAGACCACCGAGGTACTGGACCGGATGGACGATCTCCGGGAGGAGCTCAGTCACGAGTCCGGCCCGGCCGCCGCGCCCGGGGACGTGGCCGCAGCCCGACGGGCCATCGACCGGCACACAGAACTCCGGAATAAGGTGTTCAAAAACCCCGCACACGAGATGGACAAACTCGGCCAGCGCTTACTACAGAGGTGAGTGGACTGCCGGAGTCGGCCGCCTGATCTGCTGTTGCAATAACGGGGAGTTAGTTTCATGTGAAATATATGTGTGGGTTCTTCTGCTGGCTATGTGATAGATTTGCGAGTTATTATTGTTTGGTATCTGTCGTTTCTCTTTGATGTCGCTGTTTGGTACGCAAATGTTTGTTTTGAGTAGGAAGTTATCCCGATGCCTTGTTGATAATGTTTTTGCAACTTGGGATTCTACTGGGAAACTATGACGGAAAACAATATAAAATGGCTGTCACTTTCCATATGTCGTCAATGTTCAAATAAGTTTTACACTTAGACATAGCCTGCTCTTTCCTTCTATATGAGGGAGCCTATGACACATGCTGATAAAAGGTAGATATTTTGTTGGGGGAGGGGGTATGCGATTGCTGGCAGCAACGGCTTATCTGCACGTATTCGAGTGTCTTCCCAACATTGTGTATTTACAAAACACTTCTAATACGATTGCTTAGCAGAGGTTCCTCATACACTTACACTTGATGGCTCGTGAGTAGACATTGTTCTGGGTACGTCCCGGACACTCGTAATGTTATTTTCAGAGCCTCTTGGGTATGTCACCGCTGAACTGAACTAGCTGGTCTCGGCTCCGGGTGAATGATGATGTGTGCGGGAGCGAGACTGCGATGAAGTTGGAGTCTAGGCTGATTGCAACTCTGCGAGGCTCAACCGGTTATAGATTTGTGGAGGGGCACATGTGTAACGTGGTAAGAAGATGAGAGCTATAAGAGTGGATCGAAATCGTAATGATGAAGTGGTCTGTACGCATACAATATGAAAGATGTCTTGTAGCCGGAGGTGATATTTTATCTGCCATGCCATTGTTTTTTTTTTATAACTTTCAAACATTTTCACCCACCAGTCAAGCGTACTTGATGTGGGTCGATGGTGTCGGACTTACACTGTTCCTCACCCACCAGTATATAGGCTACCGTTGAGGCGTCGGCAGCATAGCTCCATCCATTTAGCTGCTCATTAACTGTGGTGTCAGCACGGCTCATGTCAGCGCCGAGTTATTAACGAGTCGATCCTCGGCGCGCTACCGAAGGCGTAAGACCAATGATGACGTGAAGTGATGATGTCACGTGACGGTGCCCTGTGATGTCATGAACTCGTCACACACTGTGACGCTGGGGATGTTATGTGGTGTATGTCGCTAACGTTACTGACGCCGTGACGCGAATTATGTCGTGGCTACGGTACTTTGCTCATAGTCGAGGCGATCAGTTATATGCCGTACGGGCTTAGTTTTATCTGGGGTGTGATGTGGTGGCATGCGAGTAGTCAGTCGATCCTGATGAGACTGCTCAATATCGCTGGATGGCGTGCTCCGTGATTTTTTTTCGCGAAGTGTCTGTGAGTGACATGGAGGGAGAAAAAGAGAGGATGGTTCTAGAAATGGGTGGAGATCGCGGTCGGCTGTGTTAGACACTTTGTCTACGTCTTTGGTGTTTGTCGGTGGTTTGTTTGCCAGTGGTTCGTCTGCCTCGGAGGACTGGCTTGTTTACCAGTGTGTGGCTCGCTCTGGTGCGTGCTATTCCTCGGAATGTCGGCTCAAATTCATGAACCGGAATGTAGTGTTTATGAATCTCTTGTGATCTCAGTGCACATCTCTCTGTCAAGAGCTGATGTCCTCATATTGTATGCGATCTTAGGAAAGGCTTTGATGTCTTTTAATTGATGCAAGTACGCTCAGGAATAGTCGATCCAGATTCGGTGAACGACATGTCGTGAATTCGTTGGAGGACATGATGCGTTTTCAGTGAACTGGGGCTGGTTTTTATCGGATGCGGCCGGCCGGGGTCGGTGGACGGTGACGAATCGCTCGCTACCTGTCGGCCTTGACAGTGAATCACCAAGAATGCCTGAAGCGCTACTGAGCGCGCCGCTGTGTGTTTTATTTTACTCCGGATGGACCGTAGAGTCACCCAACCAGCCCGTCTGCCCTCCGCACGGTCGTCCTTACTGCATATGATACATCAGATATTGACTGCGAGAGCTAGCGACACGATGTTTGCTTTGCGAGCCGCCATCACACGGCAGAATGCTGGACCAGACGGTTGATTAAGTTCGTTCTCTGAGTTCTGACGATGTCTGTATGCTGCAAATATGTTTTACTGTGATTTTCTACAATGCGTTTTTACTTGTTTTATGCTTTTATGCGTGCTAAATCCGGCGTGCAATTTCTCTACTATTGTTACTCGTAGCAACAGTTCCCATCCTGTCTTCTTAATCATCCCATGAAACCGTGCGTCGCTGGTGCGTCTCCCACTCAGAAACTGTCCCCAGTCGATTGAAGCCCCCGCAGCAATCAGTGCTCCGCCCGGCACCGTTCCTGGCTCGAACTGGGCCGCCGCCACCTATTGATCGCTCTCCTACGGACACCCTGCACGGCCTCATTGACCTCAGGCGGGTCACCGCGGTGGCTGGTGCGGTTGGCCGAGCCCAGTGATCCCAGATATCAAGCGGCGGCACACGGTCAATCATCAGACGTGAGCTGCTCGACTGGCAGTGGCTGCTGGGCTGGACTGGTTCCGCTTGGTAACCGAGGTAGATCAAACCACGCCCCCGTTGGAGCTGTCGGCTTGGGTGAGGTTGTGAGGTAACTATGGTCATATGTGACACCCACCGTGACCTTTAGTGGTTTCTAGTGGTCCCACCGTGACCCACAATGACCTCCGTTGAGCTCAATGATTCCCCCAGTGACCCATCCATCAGTCACGTTCAGCTCCAGTGACTTGTGTCCACTTATGTGACCTGTGTCCATCTGTTGCCAGGCTGGGCGGTGACGGTGACAGCGGCTGTGACTCGGGCTACGCCGGAGCCAGTCGCGACAGCACGTCCAGCATGATACTGGCCAACCCCGACCTGCAGTCCTGCATACCGCAGGTAAGATAGCGCCCCCCCCCCACCCCTAGAGACGGCAGGTCTGGTATGGTCCTAGCCAACCCCAGTCCTGCCTACTGCAGGTAAGACCGTAAGGTAACCTGCATACAGTAGGCATACGTTCAGTATAGTTCCTGACTACACTCACTAATCACTCACAGCACAGGATCGACGACAACCATTCAATACGTCCGGTATCTTCCAATATAGGTTAGTGGGCTTCTTTCCTTACCTTTACAGTCGCTTTATGTATGGCGGGTGCGGTGGTCCCGGTCATTGTAATACGTTTATTGACAGCCACGCGGTATTGTTAACTGTTATGGCGGCATTGTTTACAGCTAGGCGGATATTGTCTGCTCGTAGTAACCAGTGTTTTCCGGTATTGGTAGCTGGCTTAGCGACGTCTTTCCGTTATGTCAACACTGTCGGGGGCGTGAACACTAATTCTCGTCATCTTCCTACCACATGCTGCATTGCTGCGTTACCACATCTAATAGCTCTAAAGGTTACGTTATTTGCCGCAAACTTACTGACGTTCGGGCAGTGTGGGTAGCGAGGCCGTCAAAACATACCTGGGGGAACCGCCCTAGCGGCTCTTTCTGGGCAGATCAGGTGGGTTAGGGGACGTCTCGGCCTGGTGGCAACTGCGATGCAGCACATTCACACACTTAATACAAGTCGTGTTTTAAATCCATGATATTTGGTTGGTTCTCACGAATGAGTCAAGTCACAAAAAACATGAACCCGAAAGAAGCAAGTCGTTTGCACCACCTATGAAGGCGTCGCTGTCATTCAATCGTGAATGCACTCGAAGCCAGTTGCGATGCGGTTGGAGACAACAGTCGTGTTTCTGAAGGTTCGTGCGACCCATCCGATTTGCATGCTGTGACTCCCATTGACTGAATGCTGATTACGTGGAAATAAGCCGTAGGTATTGTTTGTATAGATCACTGTAAGTAGGTGAGCTATAAATGGTAGCGTGGGATGATTCAGTTGTCCTTCGCGTGGGTGAATGATTCATTTTCTATCCCAGCAGTGATCGGTGAGTCAGAATATGTCCTGAGTCCCAACGCTACCTTCTGCTACCTATAATCGCGTTTTGAGGATAGTTTTACGTGCGTGGTCCTTCGCTCAAGGTTTGATATAACTCATCGAATTAAGTCTTTTTTTTCTCGCTGAGCTTAGTCAAAGCACTGCTACCGTCGCTTACAGCTGGAACTACACAATTGATGATCATAAGACATGTGGTGCTGAACCACTTACTCTCCCGCTACGGGCGCTAACCGTACTATTCATTACTGTTCGCACTTTGCACCATTTGTATACTCACCGCCTACCGCTTAACGGTTCGGTTCGTTACTCATCGTGGTGCGACCATGGGTCACCGGTGCACCCCACTCTGACTGGGCCCCCGTGGCAGCTGTGGAGCTGTGGGTAGGCCTCGGCTCACGTGGGACAAAGGTCTGTTTTCATTGTGCCGGTGTGTTTTGCAGGTCGCCCAGCCGAGTGAGAGCCGTGCTGTCCATTGTGATCGTATCAGACGGGAAGGAGTTTTTGTGCTCCAGAGCCGGGCTTGTGGAGATGGAACATGTGTGTGTACTCGGGAAGGGTTTCCGGTCGAGAGAGCTACAAGATGACCGGCCGGGGACGCTGTGTCGGTGCCTTTCCGGACGGCTGTAGGACAGTCTTTTTGTGGGTCAGTGTTTGAAAAGACGTCGCCGACGCCTTAGGATAGTGTTGTTGGTTACAGCTCACAGCATTAGTTAGGCTGTTCAAGGAGATGAAATGCCGGAAGTTTTCCAGCGCGGCTCAGTAAGTTGTTCCTTCACTGCCACTTTTTCGTCATCTATCTTCCATGTCGTCTGAACGGGGAGCATTTCGAGCAGCGAGCTTCCCATCTGGGTCGTTTAGACGAAGTTTGGTGGTGAGCGACATCGTTACATGACGATACTCCGTCTCCTCGAGCCGAAATGATGCCACAAACATACAACACTGCGACTGGGACTCTGGAAGGGCAGCGAGGATCGCCATACGACATTTGCAGACCTCACAGCATCCATGTCGGCCTGAACTGCACTTGGGCTGTGACAACACTCGAAACTCAAGCCATGGAGTGAGATGGATTTCGAGTTGCCCGAGAGTCGAGATCCATCTCATCTACATCTTGCATGAGATCGGTTTCGTTTCAGCTGTAACTAGAAGCTGCTATTCGTTTCCAGCTAACTGCATTGTTAGCCAGGACTGGCACATGGCAGTGTAACTTTCTGCACCTTCCTTCCCTCCTCCTATGTTATTGCCTCTGCTTACACGTATTGCGTGCACGGGTTTTATCTCGTTATCGTGAAAATGGAGTAGTGTCTCTGGCCGATGACGGTGGCGATGCCAACGACGGTGTCCTACGTTTATTTATAATCTTGGGGATCGAAAAGTTCTCAAACCACGAAAAGTGCTCAACCATTTTGGCGAACGGAAGAAAAAGTGTCGGCGATAGCGGTCGTAGACGGCGGGCGGCGGGCGTCGGTCGGTGGGCGGCGGCCTCGTCGTCGCTCACTCCGTCGCCTTACTATCGGGACTTAGTGAGCTATACGGCGCTGCCGCCGCCTGGGCCGGATATTAACGCCGCCGTCCGCAGCCGCCTTAGCACCAGACCGGGCCGTTCCAACGAGTTGGGGCGCCAGAAATGGAAGGCGTGGGGTGGAAAGTGGCAGCGAACATTCGGGGATGTAGCGATTATACGCTGAATTAGCCCTTACAGTCGCTGCCGAGCCTAGCGACTTTTCGGCAGACTGCTGTTATTTACGAATCTTTTTCACATTTTGTTCACTTCTGTTTGAAAGATCCCTTGGATATGATCGCTGTCCTGGCACCATGCCATCAGACGTGGAACTGACAGCAACCGTCAAGTTTTGTAGGGGATAATCCGAGAAATGCTGTTTACGCTGGCAATGGTGAGCCGTCGCGGGCCTGAGCCCAGCGCCAGGGCTACGCATTTGGGCGATGCTTTGACAGCCGACCCACCCGGATGGCTTTTCCGACGCTTGGATATCATCGACAGCGTTCACCAACTCCTGCACCATCCGCCCCCTACCCCATCTTTGCTGGTCCCTGTGGCATTCGGCACAGTCCCTGCCCGCTCCGACCCCTCCAGTCCAGTGCCGGTCCCAGTGTCCCTGAGAGCTGATCGGTCAGCCCGCCGTCGTCACCAGCCGGGCAGACCGTATTGGTCGGTCAGATGCAATTGTCGACCGGTCGGTATTGGTCGGTCAGATGATGCCGATCTGGCCGTATTGGTCGGTCAGATAATGGTTAACCGGTCCATGTTGGTCGGTCAGGTGATGGGAGCGGGCACGCGCCGACATGCGGTCTCCGCGTTCGTTCGACGCTGCTCTGGTGGCAGTGCTGAGGTAGTGCGGGATCTATATCCTAGATTGGTGGAGCTGTTGGACAGATCATGCAGTCGTTGAGGTGGATGCCTAGAAAATTATGCACCAGTCAAAGTGTCATTCCGTTCTATTTTTCATAGCTTCTATGTTTTAGGGCCATTCCATTGACATTATATCACAAATACACTTGCTGGCTTTCTGCTTTGTGCGTATTCATGAACGGAGTATTATGTCACTTCTTGTCATGCTGCCTAGCGTCTTTGTCGATGCCTTATTCATCAATACGTTTCAATGCAAGCTTCAACGGCACATTCCAGGCGACCTGCATCTTTGTTTGACATTAGAAATCCATTAGAGCTTGTCAATCTTCTGAATATGAGTTATGCACATTGCATGTATTAGTTCCTACCTACCACAGTCACAAAATAAACAAATGATGCCTTTTACTCGCTATCAACTCTGGTCCTACCCAGTGGGACGCCCCATGTTTAACCACTACACATCACCCTCGTAGGAGCGACAGAATCTAAACACGCCTCTGACGTGTACATTTGTTTGATATTGGAGACCACCGTGTGGTTTATCACATGCAACAAAAGCATGAGCTGGACATGAGTGACGCGGACTATAGCAGTGCGTGGAGGTCGCTGTCAGCTGGCTACACCCCTGGTCTGTCTCAAAGGGAGGGTCTTACGGAACCACAGTGCTCAGTGCTGACGCATAGTTTAGGCTAGTGCCAATGAGACAGGGCAAGGTACACATACCTTGAAATGGCTAGCCAGTGCATGACAAGAGGATTTCATGAACGATTTGTGTGAATATCAACTGTCTTTTGATGACGTTTTTTTAGGCGTCTACATATTGTCTTGTTGGGATTTTTCGGATACAATTTTTAAATGCTTGATAGTGATTTCGTGACGCTTACCCTGAACAAGTCTTTCTGAGCACCGACGTCGGCTGACTTACACTCTGTACGTCCCTGTCATGATTCTCAGATCCTGCACACGCTGGAGACGATGCAGATCACCCAGCGGCACCTGCAGCAGCTCTGGCAGTACAAGAAGAACGAGCTCGACCAGGGACTCCAGCTGAAAATATTCGAAAAGGATGTCGAAGAGGTACGGCCTGTGTTCGTAGTATGGATATGCGACATGATAATTGTGACTCTTACGAGTATTTGCTAGTGATAGCTGGTACCAGGCTAGAATCGGGGATTAGGAGATGTTTTTTTCTTGCTATTCTTCGCATATTCGTATCCTTTCCAAAATAATGTAAACTATTCGTATCCTTTCCAAAATAATGTAAATTTTCACGAGCAACATATTTTTTACCGACCTTTATTTCCTTTCAATACCCCATTCCGTGGCACTGGGGCAGAGTCAGTATTCAGCTGCCAGCGGCCTGTTCGGTCGGTCTTTCCGACCGGCTGTTCCCAGTGGCGCCAGGGCCTCGCAAATCGGTCCTTTTAGAGGCACCAGCGTCGAATGGCAGCGGCCGCGCGTCGGCTGTGCGTAACATATGGCCCGTCATGAGCGGGGTAAATCGCCACTGGCTTAGGCACCAGCAGGCTGCCCGCAGAGCTAATGGCAATGCAATGGTGGATGGAGCGTGGTGTGGTTAGAACTTAGAACGTTATATTTCTTTGGCTTCCTGAGTTGCATGGTCAGCGAGACTGGCTTGTTGTCACAAATACTACCACAGTGCAGTGTGACTTTTTTGAAAATGATTTTGTGTATGTCGACGTTGCTATTTTGATGATCCTTAGATGCATTTTATAGGCAAACACATCTGAAAAAGTTACGTATGGTGGGCTCATTTTCTAGCCTCATATTCAATTTGAAATTGAGTTATGGTAGATTTAATGTGATTTGCAGCTGTCTTTTAAGTAGCTCCAACAGCGCTGACGAGGGAACACGTCCAAAATTTGAATGTACAAACCTTTTGATGACAACCATGTAGTCGTGATAAGAAGCCAGCCATTTTCACTGAAATAGAATTAAATTCAATCTCCATTCTCCAGTGAACAATCCAACTAAATTGCTTTCCTGCCTTTTGTTTGAGCGTGTATTAGGGTCGATCCAACTGAAGTTGACATTTCATTACACGTCCAGGCGGGCTATGGAATGCAATGTCAGACTCTGCTGAGTGTAATGGCTTACGCTATTTGAGAAGCTTTTAAAGTGCGCATGGGGTTCCATTCTAGTTCTCACCATTTCCCGGAACCTTAGCGCTGTGGATCTCGAGTGTCAAATACTAAAACATTAGTAGATTTATTTTAGGTCATTGAGGTTCAATCAGAGATTGTTCAGGTTATTAGTGAAAGATTTGATGTATGTCGTGCCTATGCGTTTTCCTTATACAAGTTATGCTCCCATTATTATGTTGTGTTTGTGTTTATATGTTAGATGAGCAGGCCGTACCTTAAACTCACCTATTTTATTATACTCTGTGCAGGTGATGAAGATAGTGCGTCTGCGCCGGGACCAGTTTCTACAGAACTACGTGGACGTGGGCCGATCGTACCGAGAGAGTAAACAGCTACAGGAGCACCACTCGCACACAACACTCGCGTCCATGGTAAGTCGGCCGCGGGACAGTTCTTAGACATGGTTAGATGACGGGAGGGACAGGAATGAGGCACGTCCAAAAGATGCGGCCAGGGGACGAGTAAACAAGGCACGACTGCATGTGCTACGATTTTCTATGGCTCTGTCTGAATTTGTTAGCGAACTATCTATGTTTTCTTGGCTTATGAGAGTTTCTGATGAGGGTTTTGATATTCAGGCGGACACATTCATCGTGTTTGTGGAATACCAACGAGTGTTTTCGAGGGCTTCGTATTGATTAGGCTATAACTTTACCGCTGGTTTTAAAAGGATAAATTCACAGGTGACATAATTGTACGCCAGCTTTCCGTCAATTGTTTCGTGTTATCGCTAAATGAATTGTATAACTCCATACAAGGTGACCACGGAAAACTCGTTTATAAATAATCCTGATCCGGCTCCGCCTTGTTCAGCGTCCTGATATCATTAGGCTGTATTTCCTGAAGTCTTTACTATTTTAGGAACGCTCTATTCCTGTAGCCGTCAATATTCTGCGTTTCGCTCGTAGCTTTGTGCGCAGTGCGGTGTGCTGGAGCCACCAGTAATATAGCTAACAGTGAGATTGGTGCGACGGTTCTGTGAGTTTTGTTGGTAGTGTGTTAGCATGGCGGTACGGTTTTGTTGGAATACCCGTTGACAGCTTTAATATAATTATTGTATAACCGCCATAGGTCCTTACGAACAGCTTAACGTATCACAAATGTCGAATGTTAAATGTCAAACATTTGACAAATGTCAAATGTTGATCGCTTTGTTGGATAGTACGCTCTCCTCCTCCCCGACCCTGGACGTAGCAGTTATGACGGGCCCCGTAGTAATTCACTCCATATGAGAACCATTGTAGCTAAATGTCGCCTCTTCTTTTTCAGAACGTGTACGTAGATATGAATCACATCCTATCGGAGGCTACCAAGTTGATAGACAACGGCCACTACGCCTCCCAGCACATACAGCAGGTGAGGCTCTGTGTATACACCGCCGGTCAGGTTAGGTGAACACCCGTGTATATTCCGCGGTCAAGTCGCTGACAGGCCGTGACACCGTGTGTAACACACTGACAGGGGACTCCCGCCGGAACGTGCCAGACTCGCTCGCGATAGCGGATTTGGCAGGGCCTTGGTGCGCGTTTGGGCGCCCGTGGAGCGTGGTTAATGCATTATGTGTTCTGTGGGTGGGGGTATTGTGTGAGGCCGATGTCGTGGCTCACCCGCCCATGTCTGCGATTGTGGATTGTGTTATGCTTGGGTGGCACGCGTCTATGTCTGCCGTTAGTTGGGAAAGTACGGCTCGGGGCGTGTGGTGGAATACAGAATCCAATGGGTGGAGGCAACCAGGGCACGCATTTGTGTACTAATGACGGGCTTTTGAGACGTTTTTATTTCTTTTTATATAGCAAATTACTTCTTTCTTTCTTTTAGTTAGCAAATTACTCCGTATAAGGCTATATGAGGTCAACTATCGACTTCGCCTGTCAGTGGGAGTTTGTCAATTGTCCCTGCTGGTGATTCTCGCTAATAAACAATAAACAATAAACAACCGTCCTTCCCCGCTGACCTTGTATTGACCCTCAGAGGCGTGCATCCCACTGACCCCCACCCACCGCTCCTTCCCTCAGGTGGCGGCACGGATGGAGCGCAGTTGGAAGGATCTGGCGGCGGGTCTGGATGAGCGCACCACCGTACTAGCACTTGCCGTGGTCTACCATCAGAAGGCAGAACAGGTGCGTAACGAGACGGGTGGTCTGGAGGGGATGCTGTCGGTGTGCTGCGGTGTATGAGGGATAGAGAGACACGCCTCGTAGGGTAGTGAAATGGGCTTTACCTCTCTGTGCTTCGCATAGAAGTTATGGACGCCGTGTCGTTTGGGTTGTCAGCTGCAGGGGACCCTCTGGTTTGTTTGTTGGCTTGTTTGAGTTGGACTTGTGATAACAAAGTTGTCTTGGAGTCTCTCAAAACGACACCGGTCTTTATCAAACTCGGCTGTATGTTTCCTAAACAATGCCGTTAAATGATGATGCACGTTGCACATCCCCATCCTTTGGCAGTGCCTTTCTCACCTTCGTTCCCGAACTCCAGCTCCAGCATCTTGTTGGACATCCATCTCATTTTCACGGTCTGCTCGCGTTAGTGTAAGTTATTTCATTACATGCATCCTTCCAGATGCTACGCTTTCCCTTGATAAGACTTGCCGAGATCTAATTTGTTTGTACACCCTGGCCTGTGCTCTGTCATCTGTCTCGCCATACCCTTTCGGAGGTTTAACAAAGGTCAGACGAGGACTGAAATGACAACGCAACTTATGATAAGCAGGTCATTTCGCGATCCCTAATTACACAAAATGCTTACAAAGCCGACGATTGAGTAGGTCATAGTGCGAAATAATGCACTCAAAACGCTGCTCAAATTGCCGCCTACTAGAAAGTGTCTATGCTAGAGTGCATGTGCGGCTCTGTTCTCTCGCATAATGTTCGCTTGCTGTAATTGTGATTGACGAACTGCCCTGTGTGTGCGATCAGCATTCTGATGTGGCGGTGACACTGGCTGACAGTCCTTTGTATTCGGTCAGTACGTGGAGGTGCGCGGATGGACTGTGGCCGGACTGTGACCTGATTTGTCTGTGACTGTGACTGACTGGCTCACTGTCCTCTGTTTGATCAGTACGTGGAGGAGGTGTCCGGCTGGACTGTGACCTGATGTGTCTGTGACTGACTGCCCTCTGTATTCGTTCAGTACGTGGAGAAGGTACCCGGCTGGCTGCAGAGCTGTCAGGACCAGGAGGTGACTGTAACTAACTGTCCTCTGTATTTGTTCAGTACGTGGAGAAGGTGCCCGGCTGGCTGCAGAGCTGTCAGGACCAGGAGGTTGTGGTCAGTGTACCGATATGTGACTGACCGACTGTCCTCTGTATTCGTTCAGTACGTGGAGAAGGTGCCCGGCTGGCTGCAGAGCTGTCAGGACCAGGAGGTGACTGTGACTAACTGTCCTCTGTATTTGTTCAGTACGTGGAGAAGGTGCCCGGCTGGCTGCAGAGCTGTCAGGACCAGGAGGTGACTGTGACTAACTGTCCTCTATGTTTGTTCAGTACGTGGAGAAGGTGCCCGGCTGGCTGCAGAGCTGTCAGGACCAGGAGGTACCCACGGCTGTTGACCAGGTGGAGGCGGCCATCCACCGGCACCTGGCGCTCCGAGAGACATTCTGCCAGGGCTACACAGAGGTAAGGGGTTCGTAGGGGCCTATCGGTGCTACATCGGGGTAGGTAGCCGTATAGGGTGTTCACTAAAAAATGGGACAATATTCTGTGCGCTGTCAGTTGAAAGTGCGTCTGGATAGATTACTGCATTTTAGTGCACGTGGAAAATACAACATTTTTAACACATGACCGCGCTTTAATTCATTTTTGATCAGCCCCCAGACAAAATGGACGGGTTAACAGGCAGACAGCGAAGGGAGCTCATTGGCACCTTTTATAAAGAGCACTGGTCCAAAGGGAAGTCATTTACTTACAAACACTTCCAAAAGATGGGAATTTCGAAAACAACACTGTATCGCGTCATGGAAAAGCTTGATACAGGGGACTCCCTTAGCAGGAAGCCGGGAAGTGGTCGGAAGGCGAAAAAATGACCCCAAAAGAGATCTTAAACCTACAAAGGTACATGAAGGAACACATCGGCGCCTCACAGCGAAAGGCTGCACGGAAGTTTGGTGTAAGCCTCAGCTACATCAGCAAAATACTTAGCACTAAGACGAAGTTGCACTACAGACGCCGAAAGCGTGTTCCGGCGGCCACAGAGGACCAAAAAATAAAGCAGAAGACCAGGTGTGGCAAGCTTCGAAGGAGCGCTATGAAGCCCACCAACAAAACTCAAATTATCATGGACGATGAGTCATATTTCCCTATGAAAGGTCACAGTCAGCCGGGAAATGTTGGATTTTATACAGATGATGCATCTGGAGCCGGGGATGGTGTGCGGTTCGCCACAGTGGAGAAGTTCACGCCAAAAGTTATGGTTTGGGTGGCCTTTTCTGAACACGGGCTGAGCAAGCCCTTCATCATGGAGAGTGGCGCAATGAACGCCTACGTCTACCGCACCCAATGCCTACCGAGGCTCAAGGAGTTTGTAGATGCCAACTACCGTGGTAAAAAGGTTATTTTCTGGCCAGATCTCGCTCCGGCGCACTACCAGAAGGATGTCCTTGCCACCCTCGAAGAGCTGAAAATACCTGTTGTGGCTAAGGAGGATAACCCACCAGCGGCACCACAAATCCGCCCCATCGAACGACTTTGGGCTCTCCTGAAGTCACGTGTGTACGCTGGTGGTTATGAAGCAGAGACCAAGAAGCAGCTGACCAAGCGAATCCGCCGCCAAATGGCTGCCATTACGGCGGACACGTGCCAAAAGCTATGGAGGCGCACGCGGACAAAGATCCGCTTTGTGGCAGACAAGGGGAACACAGGCCTTCGAGAGCTGTAGAGTTCGAAAGAGGAGAAGAAGGATAATGTAGTGGTGCTGAACTTGTTTCACTGGCGTGATTTTTTCACGAAATACACACGAAACAAATTTGTCCCATTTTTTAGTGAACACCCGGTAGAGAGACTTATCGGGAGACACGGAGCTCCGCGAGACCTGCCAGGGCTACACAGAGGTAGGCCCCCTGAGGCACATCTGGTTGTTCTTGAATAGTGGCACGAATCCCTGAGTATCGTCTGCAAGGAAGAGTGCGAATGTCCAAGTTTTCTTATGATTGAATGCCAATTATTGTTTCCGGTACTCAAAGTCAACCCTCACAAAAGCCGTAACTATCATTGATAGTAACTAATGGTTGGACGTTATATGCCGTACATTCTGACTTCATGTGCTTGCCTTTCTTCCTTTTCCACAGGTCCACAGCACCAGCAAGAAGCTGCTGTACCAGCTGGACCACATGGTACAGCTCTGTTCGCACCTGAGGTCAAACAGCGGCGGTGGGCCGGCCAGTACGCCGGCCGCTGACTACTCCGGAGGCGCCTCTCATGTGCTAAGGTCGGTGCTGGGGAGTGGTGGAGTGGTACGGTGGGACTGGTGTAGGAACTGGCCATGGGATAGGGTGTGTGGGGATGTAGGCAGGCAAACGGTTTTTAGTGGCATCGTGTGTTTTGGTGAGGATGTGACGGTACCCAAGGTTAGGGTGGCGACTGGGTGGACGATGGAGTTGGTGTTACAAATGTGGGGAACGGACTGGGTGTGATATTTGGGACCGGGGTGGCATCGGGAGAGGGGAGGAGGTTTGGTAGCGGTTTGGTATTGGGGTTGGTAGCGGCGACATGAAGTGGGGCTGGGGCGTAGGTGACACCGCAAACGCTACTTATGCATGTTACTGCGGACGCAAAAAAAAAAACGTCCCGCCCACCAAGAGGCGCTGACAAATGCGCTGACGGTATCTCACATGTCGTTGACACACTTTTGAAGTAACGTTGGGAGTAAGCGTTGTGTAGTTAGAATGTCGTCCCAGCGAACTCGAGTGTTGAGGATCTCAGGTTCATCTGTATTGTTGTTAGTGTTGGCAGTTCATGAATCGGAGCAATATCGAGATGGTCAGTCAATAGTTGAAGGAGAGAGATATCTTTGTTTTCTTTTGCGAGTTTTATGCCAATTGAAGCACAGGCTCCATCCTCTTATGTTGGCTATGCGTATTGTGTAAACATCAATTTTTGTTTAGCTGTATTGTATTCGCTAAAATTCCATGTGATCACAAATGTCACTGTTTTAATAACCATTCCTTATCTACTTTCATTCTTCTATTTCACCATCCAACCATCTCGTTGGCGCAGCCGACGGCGTATTTCTCTCGAATTTACTTCTCGGAAGATTTCCCTTGCGTCGAGTCATTTACACCATTGCTTCCCCTTGACTTCGCTCCTCCGCTGAAAACATTTTCTCATTAGCCGCAGCTAAGCAGAAAAACTTAATCCCCCGTTGTATGTTACCGCTCCTCAGATCGCGCAGTGTGCGTTCTGAGCCCTCCATCTGGTGCGGCCGTCCCTGGTCACTCCCGCTCTCAGCCGATCAGTCACAGCTCTTCTGGGAAGAGGCGGTCGCGGGACCTGGGCGGACGCTCCGTCCACCCGGTGGGTGCGCAGCTCGGCCGGTGGTCCATCTGGCACACGTAGGCGTTCTTCTCGCGCTCCGCCGGCTCGAACGCCAGCTTCCCCATCTTGTTGACCCTCTTCACGGTCGGCTGGAGACCGTCCCCGACCAGGAACCGCTCGGGCGTCGTCGTGTTGTCCCACATCCACTTGGGCGACTCTGTGCGAACACGCAGCGTCAGCCAGTACCAGCGGCCGAGCTCCATCACATCTCGCATAGTGCCGATCTGGCCTCCAAAGTCCACCTCAATCAGCTTGCTGTTTCGTGCCGGAGCGAGCTCGCTGCACGCCCGCGCGGCGGCTTCCAGGGTCAGCGGCTTGGTGTAGCTCATGTAGCAGGCGCCCTGGATGTTACTCCAGTAGACGGGACAGCCAGAGATGTACTCGTCTTCGGTGATGAGCGGCTGGTAGTTGGTGTGGTTGGTGAAGGTGCCGTTCAGGCAGGTGGCCACCTCGCAGTCCTTCTCCACGCGGATCATGGCGAGCTGGTTGTGCGCAATCAGCGTCTCGTTTACCTGACAGCAGTCGGGGTCGACGATCGACTTCAGCTCGCCCTTTCCCTGACACTCAAAACTCAGACACGGATTGCCGGTAAAGAATCGCTCTCCGGGCTCCAGCATAACCAGACCGATGGCGCATTGGTTGCAGCCGGTTTTCTGAATTTCCCAGGCCACAGAGTTCTCGATCTGGTTGTCCTCTCCATCACGTTTGCATACCTTCTGCGTGCATTTGCCCTTCATGATGGCGCCTTCCTTGTAGGCATGTTTTTCTTCGAAGCAGCACTTGAAGATGTCGCGGCTGAGCATCCACGAAGCGCCGTTGATGTCGGCGTTATACTCGCACTCGTAGTAGGAGCACTCGAGCTCGTAAGGCATGTAAATGGCGGCGAGCCGGTGCATTTTGCCGTCGCTGTCCCGGCACACGAGGCGCTCACGCTGATAGTCGGAGAGACCCGGGTAGGCCTCCGGGTCTGGTGGCCGGATAACACCGTTCTTCAAGTCAGCAGAGAAGAGAGCTTCTTTGGTGGGGATTTTCTCTTTGGTGTCATCACCCACGACAGCCACGCGAGCGTCCATTCGGGCTACCGGTTTTGGCTTCTTGATGGGCGCACTGGCTTTTCTGGCGCTGGCAGTGGCATTTGCAGAAGTGGCGTTTGCAGAAGAAGCATTTGCAGGAGTGGCATTTGCAGAACTGGCGTTTGCAAAAGTGGCATTTGCGGTAGAATTATTGTTCTGGACATCTGCAGCTGTTACGAGATAAATCAGATAGCCTACTAGCAAGGCAGCTTTCACACTTGATATAAGCCTCATGTTACGATATGTTGATATTAGGACTAAGTATTGATTGCTATTATTTCTTATGTATCCCTTTTGTTGATTGAATAGTTTTGCACCTTTTCAGAGAAATTTCAGCTGGGAATGTTTTGAAAAATTTAAAATTTATCCTGAAATTTATCACCTTAAAAAGTAATAGAGCTCGAGACTTACGTCTTATACGATCCCCGTAGTTGCTAAGTTGCAGCTGAGCCTGGTAACGCACTTCCCGATGCTTCTGCCGATTTACTTCCCTGAACGATTGCTTTCGATTTAGCCAAACCTTATGGTTTCGTGTGTCCATACCTACGGCATTAACCATTCTGACTATGCCGCAGGGTCATCCGTGAGATTCTGAACCACCACGGGGCTGTGGACCAGCAATGGAAACAAAGGAAGATCCGGCTTCACCAGCAGCTGGCTCTCAAACTCTTCCAAGAAGATGTGAAACAGGTACAGAACACGCAGAAAACTATCGATGCTTTACGTAAAGCCGCTGGCTCCATTAGAACCGGATCTTCACAAACGCATCGCGAAACTACAAAGCAATCGATACCGCCCGCTAGGACTCGTTTTCTTAGCTTGTCTGATACGTCATGAATTTCGAACAGTGGTTCGATTCTGGATGAGCGTTGATAAAATGTGCAATAATCAAGTAACGATGGTTATTAGCGACTGTCATCGTGCCTTAAAAGTATTTGATGCTCTGGGCGAATCAGGCGTCTAATGTTTTTGATACATACCTACGCCAAATATGTTGATTTATCGTGTCTCTGAGTTGTGACCACTCCTCCGTTCTTCTCGCAGGTCCTGGACTGGCTGGACACTCACGGCGACATGTTTCTGCGGAAGAACACCAGTCTCGGCAGGAACCTGGAGCGGGCGGCCGCCTACCGGCGCAGCCACGAGCACTTTGTCAGCGTGGCGCAGAACACGTACACAAACGCCGAGAAGCTGCTCACCGCTGCCGACGAACTGGCCAGGTGAGACGTAAATTACGAACGTCGAGAGGTGGGTTGGGAATGCGATCTCGTACTCACGGCTCTTGAGAGTTCAGCTACCGCGAAGCAACTTTGCCGTGAAAATTTTGTGGTACTAAATGCCGTGATGGTACAATGCTTGTCCCATTTTACCGAAGCTGTTTTGGCAGTGCTATTACACTTTTCTATTGAATTTTTATCGGCATTTAAATCGACTTACTGGTGACCTAATGACTAAGCCATATTGCCGTCACAGTTGCTGCTACATCCGACCTGTTATTGAAGCTTGCCAAAGTGCCCACCGAGATTTGTCACTGTTCTGACCGAGTTTCGTACCGCAGGACGGGCGAGTGTAATGCCGAGGAGGTTTACCGCGTGGCTGCCGAGCTGGACGAACGAATCGCAGCGTTTGTCGAGCGTGTGGAGAAGCGACGTAGGCTCCTAGAGCTGACCGTTACTTTCTACACCCACTTTCAAGAGGTACGTGCTGGCGTAATGGGCATCAATCAGGCGTAGGAAGAATATATTTTGTTCCAAGAATATATTTTGCCTGGAACAGGAGTTATGTAGATAACCTTTGTTTCTTTGTCTTTGCAATAAATGTCATGTTTTTTTTTCGCCATGCAAGTTTTTAGCAGAAAATGCGTCATTGAGTTTCATGGGAAGCCATGATCGCCTGGGCCCGGTCTGATCCTGGAACCGTGATCTAGTTTCGGGAATCTTCCCCGCCACAAAAGCACGTGCAGATTCGTCTTCATCTTCATATAATCGAGAATGGATACATCACGTGATCAACCTTATTTGCCGCCAACGTGAACGCTATCATTGTATTTTTATTCGACCCTTTAAAGTCAACAACCGGTGCATGCGTCGCGCCATCTCTGTGTGCCCGTCATCTGACTCACATGCCCCTGCGCTGGTCAGCTCACTGCCTGGTACGAGGAGGTGCGGAATTCCATCTCGAGTGGGGAGGTCGGTGAGAGCGTGCAGGGCTGCCAGCACCTGCTGGAGGAGCTGGCACAGCGCCGAGAAGCGTTCATCGAGGCCACTAACAGCACCATCGCAGAGGGCGAGGCGCTCATCTCAGATCTCAAGTAAGACATGCCTTCCCTCTGGAATAGCGCCACAGTGAGGGCAGATCCGTGAAAATCCAGCGTATTGGGACAAAAACTTAGCTTCAAATGTGCACTCAACTAGTGACCGGTATTCTTCCCATCTCGTCTGCTCACATCATGTTGCGAATGGATCGTCAGGGGTCTGAGTTATAGATTATACACGCATACCGTGCCTGCCTCTGCTGACCATCCGCCTCCGTCCACAGACTACAAGGCATCACGAGTGAGAGTGACCCGACCGGTTCGTACGCGGGCATCGAGTCAGGTCTCTCGGAGCTGACCCAGCGGCGGGACGGCATGGCCGAACTGTGGGGCACGCGCAAACTGCGGCTCGACCTCTCCATGCGGCTCAGGATGTTTGAGCGAAATGTCATGGAGGTGAGCGAGGAGGGACATGGGCGGGAACAGCTGGGCGAGGTGGAGGAGCTCGCTAGAAAGTGTAGGTATGATGTGAAGGGGCTTGAGTAGGATACGCCGCATATTTGATTCAGATATGTATCGTTAGATGGCTCCAGCTCTATAGCAACTGGCCACTAGATGTCTCTGAATCCCCTATCAGCTTCATGTCCAAGCGTCCTCTCTGCCTCTGATTCCTGTCCAAGTGTCTGTCCGTATTGAGCAGCATTGACCCGCTAGCCTGTACACGTGGATTGGTTGTGGCTCTCTTGCCTTGTCTGAAAGGGGAACTCTGATTGGCCCTCGCACTCGATGTTTAGGTGTCTCTCCGATGTGAACGATTCTGCGTCCTCTCCTTTTACCCAGGTGTCTGTTCAGATGGAGCAGTGGGCCGAGGAGTACCAGCGGCTGGACGTGCCGCGCGACATGGCCACCGCCGAGCTGATGCTCAGCAAACACAACGACATGGTGCAGCACGTGCTGGACACCATGTTCCAGCTAGTCCAGGAGGGACAGCAGACCAGCCAGGTGGGTGATGCGCCAGCTTCGGAGGGAGATCAGGGACAGAACGACGAGATGTGCTGCGCTTATTTTGTTTCATTGCTTCTATATTTAGCCGCAGACGCTGGCCCTAGGTAAATGAGCCGACCTGGTATCTGATAGCCTTAGAATGCCGGCAACTTTGTATTCGAGGATGATGTATTAAAAATTCATGATTTTTCTTAAAAGCATTAGAATTTCACGTAGACAGTCATATGTCACCAGTCGTGTGGCCTCGCACCCCTCACCATACACCTGACTCTCTGTCGCCACCCCGCAGCTTCTGGACCAGTCCAGCATCCAGTTCATGACGGACACATCAACAACGGCCTCTGAGCGGTGCGCCATGCTGCTGGCGTACGTCAACGACCGGCAGTCTGAGCTGGATCAGCTGGCTGAGCGGCGCCGGCTGCGGCTCGAACAGCGCGTCCAGCTGGGGCAGCTCGAGGCTGAGGCGAACCAGGTGAGGTGGCGCTGGGACGCGGTCTGATGGGGGGATAGGGAGGGGTAGTGTATGGTAGGTGTATTTTGAGAAACAGGTTGACAGGTGAGTTTTGATTTCTGAGGGCTTATTATTGTGTAAAGTAGTTCGTTTTTCTTCGAAACAAGTGTATTTATTGTAGCGATGCTTCAATGGAGGTCAGTAATTTTGTTTATCGTGAACGTAACTCTGGCGATATAACTGTATGTATTAGAAATTGCTCTTCTCAATAATTTTCCGATTATTTTGGTTGGCATCTGACCTGACCTGGCCTGTGATCTGACCTGTCTGACCCGTCTTCCAGGTGATGACGTGGATCCGTAACGGCGAGTCGATGCTGGCGGCCAGTTTCAGCGTGCCGTCCTCACTGCAGGAGGCCGAACAGTTCAAACTGGACCACGAGCAGCTGCAGCGAGCTGTGGAGGTGAGCGTTGGGGGTGTGGGGAAGGGGAGGGAAGAGATGCTCGTCTATTATTGCTCATCATGCATGTTTAGACTATCCAATGCTCATAAATAGGATCGCTAAATTCGAGACTGTGTCAGCCAACGCTGCCTAAAATGTATCACTTATTTGCCTAGGTCATGCTGGAACAAGTACCAATCACAATGCAAGATATTGAGGAGCCTACATCGTATCCTACATTGTATCCTACATTATTCTACATTGTATCGTCACAGGAAGTTTGATCACACCAGTCTTTTTACCTAGGTTGCTGCGATCTACTCAGTCCTTTCCAGCACGCCGCGCATCATGAGGCCAGCTAGTAACTGTCCGGCTCCGAAATTTAGTGTCTTGTTAATGTCACCTTCCTGAATTAGAGAGCAAACGCCTCACGCTGGCTGACAGTCATGATAGATGCGGAGGAAATATTGGTGGAAGGAAAAGCCGTTCCGTACTAACGGGAGGTTCTCACTCAGTTAAAACAGGCAAAACCGAAATTAAACGCTGCGGTCCTTCAATGGACACTTACCACCAATGCTGTTAACGTTAGTTTTTTGGCTTTGCTAAGTCCAGAACGATAAATGGAGCATTGCTATCTAGATTTCTGTTCGGATCTTCAACGTCATTACTTTGTTCAGTTACGATTCTGTCTCCCGGCATGATATCAATTCTTTCCGCCATCCCGTTCCATTTTGTCCGTGGAATCGTCTCTGCACACCCGGCCGACGACAAATCCCGTCTCCTTATTCACACGGCTGTGATTTCAAACGAGAAGGTCGCCGAGTCTGCCATTGGCGTCCAATCTCCAGGGAGGGAGTGGGACGGATTTATGGCCGCCTTTTGGATGGGTTCGGGCGCACCGTTTGCCGGGGCCGGTCATTTCGCTGCCGGCACATATGTCATGGCACTGGTGGCGGTGTTTAGTGAGCGCCGCGTGGCCCGGGGTACAGGCGACTTGTAGGCCATGCACGTCCCAATAGTACGGGTGACGTGGTCGGGAAACGGGTCGCTGTGCACTGGATGGCCACTGGAGTGGTTCCTTTAGCTTATGTTCGTTCATGATTATCGATTTGTGTATTAGCTTTCATTTTTCGTATCCAATTGGCCTAATGCAACATTATCGCTCTACTTGAGTGGAGAAATTACTGCACATGAGTGTGTAGCCATATAGCCAAATTGTCAGATTGCTTCTGAGCCAACCAAAGGCAAAGTACAATGCTAATTTAACAATATTAATATATGTAGTGAATAGTGATGCTAATGCTGGCGACTCACGGTCCACTGGAGGCTTTCCAGCCGAGCATTTCCAAGTTTGCCAATTCATCTGTTGTAGGGTCATGCCCGCCGGCGATTCCGTGGCGCTCTGCGGGCTCTGATTGAATTACTTCCATTTCCTTCATCCGTTCATTTCTTCGAAGACTTTGATGCTGCAGAAACTTCGTTATGAACTTCCATCCTTTAATTTTATTGTCTCCAAATGCAGTTTTGAAGTTATCTTCTGCCAGTCCGGCCAACTATTTCCCAAATTAATCCAGAACCAGTCTCTTGCCGGTCAGGGTGGGGCAGTTTCACGAACCTCACTTCTAAGTCGGCTCACTTCATCACCGGCACTTGAATTCCTGTTGGTCTTAAGTTCAGCTGAGTCACAGTATCCGATAAATAACTTGTAGTTACTCCATCTTTCTCTCCTCGCCCCAACCCTCGCTACAGCATCAAACACCGCACACAGAATGCACTATCCGCTAGAGGGCACATATCTGTGGTCCGATTGCCCCCTGGCTGAACTGTCTAAGTGACAGGCATCAGTTTCACACAGTGTCTCTCGTAGCTTACAGAGGCTGTTCTGTCCTTTAGTGATACTCCTGTCGTGCAGGGTGCATATATTGTGAAATCTTCCATCCCACACAGTCTCTTCTATCTGCCAGCAATAGCCTTCCGTCCACAGGGTGTATAACGTGCCTGCTGTCCACCAGAGCTAACCCTCCACCCCCTTCCACAGCGAACGCACACCTCAGCCGTACAGGCGTGGCAGCGTGCCGAGAGCCTCATCAACACCAACCACTACCAACCGGACGCCATCCGGACGATCGCCGAGAACATCACCAAGCGTTGGCAGCAGCTGGTGACGTGTGCCGAGGACAGGCACAAACTCGTCACCAGCAGCCTCAGCTTCTTCAAGACGGCAGCTGAGGTGGGCATAGCGGAAGGAGATGTGGGTGGGATGTGTACTGCGTAGGGCTCGTCTAGGAACGGAACATGATGCTCAGACGTAAGTAGATCCACGCGTTTTGTTGTATGTGGAGGTAGGCGAGCATCGCGAGTATCAGCTGTAGGTTCTTTGGCTGATAATGGATGGACTTTGTACGCCAAACGGTGACAGTTGATCTCTGGGACTCGTGACCGGCTCCTGGTGTCAGTCGCGTGAGAGTGATCTGTGGTCTGTGACTGATGATCTGTGAACGGTTTATTGTAACCGGTGGCCTGTGACCTTTTATCGGGCCTTTGACGGGTGAATTGTGTGGGTAACTGGTAACCATTGACCTTACCTGACCTGATCTGATCTGTGACAACTGACCTACAGGTGTCAGTTGTCTTGGAGGGTCTGGAGAGGGAGTACCGTCGTGACGAGGACTGGTGTTCCACCGAGAAGACTGGCAACGCGGCCGATAACGCCGTGCTGATCGCTTCGCTCATACAGAAACACCAGGACCAAAAGGTAAGAGTGGAGCGGTCACGGCTAGTCCGCTCTGTTTCAGATGGACGCCTTATGATTGTGTGACCGTGTGCTACCGCAGGGTGCCTGGAGTGGAGTAAAGTTGGTTTCACTGAGGAACTTTTTTGGTACACGATGGTTTGGTAAACATTTTGCATTAGTGCTCGTTATGAAACCACGTACGATTCAAGGCTCATTTATTTGATGGACCGCTGTAATTTCTATTTTTACATAACTGGGTATTGCATTCAGACACACCTGACGCTTGTCTTGCTTCCACAGGTGGTCTTTCTGAAAGCATGTACTCACGCGCGCCGCACCGGAGGCTCTGTCCTCAAGTACGCCACGCGCAGCATCCAGTACTACAACCAGAAACTGAAGCCCGGCGTCCGCGGCTCCGAGGAGAAGGTTAAAGGTCAGTCTAGGGCTAGGGCCAGTCAGCTCCGATGAGAACAACTCCAAAGGTCACCATATACAGAGACACACGAAACTGGAAATATGACAATGGAATCGTTCTGAAGCGCATTCTTCTTGCAACTTATTGATGATATCCCTCTCAATCGGTGATACAAAGTAATTGTGTGCCCCGAAGTGTGTTTTCCTATGCCAATATGTTAGCGTATTTATGGCTTATGTATCGGTGACACCCACATTCGCCACCCTTCAGAGGTGCTGGACAACCTGCTTCGCCTGGAGAACCGCGTCATGGACTACTGGAACGTGAAGAAGCGCCGACTGGACTGGTGTCAGCAGTATGTGGTGGTGGAGCGATCGGCGCAGCAGGCACTAGACTGGATCAAGGAGACCGGTGAGCAGCGGAATGTGGAGGCCCTGGTCAGGTGGCCAGGGTGATCTCGTCCTGGGTGTGAGTTTGACTGTCTTGTAGTTCTAATTCGCTGAAAGTGATTTCTGGCTTCAGCGATTCTGTCAACAGTAACAGTAGCATTGAAGAATAAGGACGTTGTGTTCAAAGCTGGTTCTCCGCTGTTGGTTAATGATTGGCTAAGTTTTCTCTGTCTGGCTTAGTAAAAGCTTCCTGCAAGCTTTTAGTTGAACACCTTGTGCTTTCTCGCCAATCCTACTCACTTAGTGCTTTGCTGATTGCTGTGTACATTTGAAATAAGTAAGCGATGAACTAAGCATGCCGATTTCGTCCGTTTTCGTCTGTTCACGCTCTGACATTTTTGTATCCTCGTACCGTTTCGGTTGTCAGGCGACCAGTACCTGGCCACCCACACAGCCGTCGGCGACAGTCGAGAGGAGACGGAGAAACTGCTCCACGAGCACAACGAGTTCAAAACGACCGCCAAGGTGAGCCCTGAGCGTCAGGGCGCCGAGCCCGAGCGAGGGTAGCAACCATTGCAGCATCGGTAGCCGACTGAGCGAGCGCTTGTACGATGGGTAGTCTCAATGTCCATTGTTGTTGAAGCTAGAGGAGCTTTTTGACATGATTAGCTGACCGGATATTTCAGGGTGCCTTTATACTACCTCATGTCCGCGAAGTTCGATTTTCTCAAACACCAAGAGCTTTGTATGCTCCTTTGTTGGACCTCGCCCATGTTAACTGTTCTCTGACCTGACCCGACCCGCAGGAGACCCGTGAGCGGGTCAAGCTGCTGATCCAGCTGGCCGACAATCTGATGGAGAAGGGGCACGCACACGCGGCCCAGATTAAAAAATGGGTGGCCACTGTCGACATGGCATACAAGGACTTCTCACATCGCATGGATATGTACAGGTGGGTCCCCTCGACGAATACAGAATGAACTGAGGGAAAGTTGACAGGATCCAATTTACTGGTCAGCTCAATTACACGATTCACATTTTCGGGTTGGAATGGCTACCAGTATTTGTTCCATCGTTAGAGTGAAGCGGGAAGCAAAATCCATCTTAGCAACCACTAATTCTGCTCACAACACAGAACAGTCGTGATAAACGATGCACATTTTGCGTGTTTTCCGTGTGTCTGACGGCTCGGCTGCTGGTGCGTTCCTCAGGCGGCAGCTGGAGGTTCAGCTGGGTCACCAGGCGTCCGGTGAGCGGCGCCAGAAGCCAGAACCCGGTCAGGAGGCGGACGAACCGGAGCCAGAGCCGGAGCCGGAGCCGCGGGATCGGCTCTCCGACCCTAGTCTGGAGAGCAGGGTCAACGACCTGCAGCTGAAGGAAGCTGAGGGCAAACTGGATGAGGAGAAACGACGCTCGGCGCGGCGCAGAGAGTGAGTCGCCTGGGGGAGAGGGAGAACAAGAGCCCCCACTCAGTGTACAATATTGGACGGTGGCAAGTTAGTGGTATGGTAGACACTGTGGATCCTGTTATATCGCCAGTGCTTTGAGCTATCTCGCAGTGATTTATTACCCATCCATCATTCTTGTGAAACAAGGATGAATTCTGTCAGAATTTTGCAGTCAGATTCTGGAAACCCACTTAATATCCCTGGCCATTGGAGACTGTAGCTCTTATTAGAAGATTTGTCTTGCATCGCACGTTTGAATGCCTGTAACGTTTCTTTTTATTGTGTGTGTTCAGGTTCATCATGACAGAGCTGCTGAACACCGAGCGGGCGTACGTCAAGGACCTGGAGATCTGCGTGGCCACCTTCCTGCACGAGTCACGCACCAGCCGCGCCGTACCCATCGGTAAGGAGACGCTCTGTCTGCTGCTGGCTGAATGCGACACCCCATTTAGAGGTGCCACTGGGGTTGATGTTTGAAGATCATAGGTTCGCCTCGACCTCCGGCCAGTTGAGTAATATGCGAATTCGCCATTCGGTAACCTGTCCTTATTGTCTGTGGGCGTCCTGTCGTCCTAATGCCTCAGCAGGATAACAAACCACCATGCAATCTGTGATTTGACGCCGCTGGATCGGTATCACTCAACAGGAATCCGGGACAAGTCTGACATCCTGTTCAGTAACATGGAGGAGATCCTCGACTTCCACCGCAATACGTTCCTGCAGCAGCTGGAAAAGTACACCAGCAACCCGGAGGACGTCGGACACTGCTTCGTCACATGGGTAAGATGCTGCTTCATCGCGGATCTTGGCTAGCTCATCTAAGGCCCTCTTCATTCAGTGGCGTATCTAACAAGCGCCCCTTTCATGATGTGCGTGCGTGTGTCGATACTGCACGCTGTTAATTATGGGTTTGTTATAATGGAACATTCACATTGAGGGTAGAATCCCCACATACAGACTTGTATATGTCAGTGTGCACGACTGAATAAGCCCGTTAGCCCATCATACTGGGTATTGAGCTCGGCACATCCGGCTGAGCTAAAGCAGTGCCGTTGGCCGGTCGGACGGAGCCTCATCAGACACGGCTACCTACAGTTTGTCTGTGGTATGGAATAGGTGATTATTAACCGAGAGACGATCGGCAAGACTGGTGACGGAGGATGTAATTAATTCGTCCCACAATGGCTAAGATGGCTGAACGTGCCAGAAGTGCTTCGCGGGCGCCTCGTTTGCACACCAGCGCACCTTGCCTAGGTTTTTTTCTGAATTGCACTGGAGCGTCTGATTCGCTTGAAAGCCGCGTGCTATTTGGTATTTGTAGCGCTCGGAAGGATGCCGATTGAAATGCGACGCGATTACCTTTTTGGTCTGAGCTGACGATTATTTGTAATTTGTCTCCCAGCGTCGCCTTTAGACATCGAATTGTTTGCCACCGCTTTTCCGTGGCGCTGGTCGGTCGGGTTATTTCTCCTAAAGCTTTCCATCGTTGAACGTGATCGGAATCGGCGGCCGATAGCCGTTTGATGTGTGACTGGTCGGATCAGCAGTCTACGGAATCGCGGCCACCCGCTAGGTGGTTTTATCTGGAGTCTTTGGAGTAGAGATGTGTAAAACGGGAAATATCTGAGAGACAGCTATCCCGCCTGCCACTAATGCCTTGACGGGGATCAGAGAGCCAGGAGGTCTAACTTTGGAGCTTTCGTTTCCGGGGCTTGTATTTTGTTTGTGGTAAAGTTGATGGTGGTTATCAATACTCAAGTTGTTATCATCTTATCTTATCTGTCTGCGATCGTCTACCTCCATCCATTGTTTCCCTCATCTCTCATCATTTGTCCTTCGGTTACCCATCCCTCTCTGTTCCTGATCCTCTCCTCCGCCCTAGCTCCTTTTTTCTTCCCGTTTTCATCATCCCGTCCTCTCTCTGTCGCCGTCCTCGGTCTAGCGACTGTCGGTCGTCAGCATCGACCTCACGCACACGGCGTGTCTATGATGACCCACCGCACGCGTGACGCGACTGCAAGGACGCCGGTGACGCCGTCATTAGTCCCCACAAACCGACTGGATACAGTTGGGGGTGGTCCCGAGCGGCGCCGGAGGGTGGAGACTGTGGGATATTCTGGGCTGGAGATGTGCCGAGAGCTAAGATGGAAACTGGGGAGGAAGCTGAGAGTGGTAGCGATAGTGAGGCACGGAATGGAAGGACGTGGGTGGTTTTGGTCTAGTCAATTACTATTGCGCTGGGATTAATTTTCACGTGAGACTGTGTGATTAGTTTGTCTCGAAGTTCAGACTGTTCGTATACTTTCATCAAAACGATGCTTTTCTTTGACATTAGAACAATGAACGATGAAAAATAATTGTCTCACGGCAATGAACAAAACGCTGTGGCAATCATCGTTCCTCATAACGCTAACCATGTGCCTTTTTTGTCCGGACAGTCGCAAAAGTTCGACATGTACGTCCAGTACTGTCGCGACAAACCGGACAGCAACGCGCTGCTGGTACAGCATGGTGGAACGTTCTTCGAAGACGTGCAGCGTCACCATCGAGTGGAGCACCCGATCGCCGCCTATCTCATCAAGCCGGTGCAGCGCATCACCAAGTACCAGCTGCTGCTCAAGGACCTGCTCTCCTGCTGTGACGGCCACGGCGAGATCAAGGTAGGTGGGAGGGGATCACTGGGGACGGGCGGGGATGACGGATATTGACTGGGGATTTGGTCTCAGGGTCCGGAAGGATGTGAGGTCCTTGGGGGAATGGTGGGAGGGAGGGATGGAGTGTCTCTGACGGTGACATCTGCTACATTTGGTGGGTACTGGGTAGAAATGATGGGTCCTGTTTTTGGGAGAGAAACAAAAGTACGGTGTGGAGCTAGCTATGACGTTTTTAACTCATATAAAAAGATGCGTGAGATTTTCTTTAGCGAGTGGTGAACTGAATGGACTTGAAAGATATCAAAGGGGCCGTAACAAAACAAACGCATTTTGCATAAGGCGTCGTTCATTTATGTTCTTCGTGTCACTGACCGTGCGTCCGTCCCTTTCCTCTGTCAGGACGGTCTGGAGGTGATGCTGAACGTGCCGAAGAAGGCCAACGACGCCATCCACCTGTCGATGCTGACCGACTGTGACGTGGATGTCGACACGCTGGGAGAGGTGAGAATGGACCTGGTGGGGTCGGCGTGAGAGAGATGGGGGACGGGGTGAGTAGTGAGTGCGGTACGGTGAGAAGAGAATTCAAGCGTGTAGGAGCGACGGATTCCTCACATTCGCGTCTGTTATACGGTGCAGACAATAGAGTACGGTGGCGGTCTGGTCGTTATCGATTAGCTGCGATTAGCTTCAACAGCCCTGATTGGCAGTTCCGTCACTGAATCCACCAGTTGTCCACTGGTGGTGACCGGTGATTCCCCGTTCCGGTGTCACCTTTCACCACCCGCCAGCACCGCTCAGTCTCGGGCCGTCCTCCTGCCGTCGGCGGACCGTATTGATCTAAACAGGCCGGCACAGATTGCCCCCGGGAGCAGTCGCTCTCGACGCTGTCCGCTGTCCCGGCGGTCCGCCACGCTTATTTGGTGGCCGGCAGACACTTCCTCCCCGGCAGGCTTCCTCTGCTCCCGGCTGAGTTTCTGTGTCCTGTCTGGGTGCCCGCGTGCTAGCTCTGCTCTGTCTGGACTGCTGTTCGTTTTGGACTTTCGGCTGCTGTGTTTGAAGCGCAACGTTTCTCGTTTTTCTGCCATTTCAGCTTTACCATGTGCCATTTTTATGTCTTGCTTGTCCGTTCCTTTCCCCTCCCCAACGTACACACAGGCGGGATTACTTTTACCACGAGTGACCCGTCACTAAGCTGCTGCTACGTGCGCTCAGTGGGCTTTTCTGTTTTGATGTGCCTTTTTTGCTAGGAACTGGATTTCTTCTCAGTAAGAACGCATCGCACTGTTATGTGCAGCACAATTACGGCATAATGGACTTCCCATGCTGTCTACCCGATGAGACTGGGTCACGGTGGTCGCTGTCTGTCCCACTGTCCCAGCCTTACCACTGATCGGTTCCAGCCACCCTCACATGGCGACCCCGACCCGGCCGGGCTGTGGCGTCAACGCCCACAATTGCTGGCGCAGGCAGAAGCCAAGAAGTTGTCAGGCAGAGTTGGAAAAGTGCTGTGTCGTTGCTTTACGTGTTTTTCGCAAGGTGTGAAGGTGGCTGACTTTCTTTGTTATTTGGCCTCTTGCCAAGACGGCAAGGTCCCGTGAAGGACCTGGACATTGCCTTACATCTGCGAGCAGGCTCGCTGTGTTTTCACCGTTTTTGTTGTGTCATAATTGTATCGTATTACTACTTGCTGCCTTTCTCCCAAACCCTGTTTGTGCTCGTTTGCATCCTTTCATGATGATGATCGTTGAGGTGTATTATCTTTGGCGGCCGAACAACCCAGGGCGCCACTACCGCCTGGCATCCTCCTCCTTCCAACGTAAGACGGTATAGGGGAAGTTGGGGCAATGCCGGAGTTGGGGCAAAGCCGAAATTTGAGATATTTCGAAAACCGTAAGACATGGATGCCACCTGTCAGTGATGCTCTGAAGCTTAAGTGACTACAATTATCGCATGTTTGTTACGAGTCGTCATTCGGAATACTTCGACTGTGAGGGCGCCAAGAGCGTTTTCAAGGTACGTTTCCCTTGTACTACATACGCCTTTGAAGCTGCATTTTTTACTCATTATGCTACCGTTTGTCTGTCCAATTCGGTCAAGTAATCTTTAGCATGTCTTTGCATAAGTGTGCTGCCTATTTGAAATTTATACAGCACGTTGAAAAGTTATGGGCCTGCAAATGAAAGTATGGCTGGCTGGGGTAATGCCGAAAACGTGCGATTACGCACGTGTTAAAAGCACGCTACGTGGACTTTACTGCTGTAGAATAGCAACGCGTATTTTTAGTCACACAAATTACACTTTCAACCGACACAACGGCCTGTTACCTATAAGGAATGATTTACCTGGCATTTTCTTATTATATCACACAATTATAACTTCCAGTGTGCACCGCGTCCTCAAGCTCTTGAAACGTGTGTCAGCTTTGATGACTTCTGGATAAAGTTTGAGATAAAATGGCAAAACATCAATGTCGGCATTCCCCGTAGATCATTTCTCCCATTTTCGGCTTTCCCCGCAGTCCGGGGCAACGCCGAAAAAGTCACTTCTTTGATATTTTTAGTTTGTGCGCTTAACGGTATGCGAATTCATCAAATGCGCCTGGTATGTTTGAAAGGCAAAAGACTGGCCTCTCGAATGACGCCAACAAGAATAGCGTATGTTCTCTACCTTGCGTGCTACGGGCGTCAGAAAAAAAGTCTTCGGCGTTCCCCCAACTTCCCCTATGCTCTCCTGAGCCGGGGACAGTGGCTACTGTCCTCCCCTCATCAGGCGTGCACGATGATCTTTGTGTACCGTTACTCATCTTTGAACAGTTTCTGCTGTAGGCATACCATCAGCTTGTCTTTTTGTATTCCACCGCTGGCAATACGATGAAACGCCCCAGCAATATTGCGAATGTCATTTCTATCCGTCCCAGGGGCGTTCAGTCATCATCCCTAGAGACATCCGATGGTTGGAATGATGTAAACACCAGTCGTCCTATCGCCAGAGCAATATTGTAATTCAGTTGGTCGCTTTGGATCGTTACTTTGATGCGTCTGGTCCAAACTTTGCGTCTGGCAATGCGGATATGATTTCGTTTGAGGCGTGCTTTTAATAATACAGCCATCTCGTAGGGAATGAAATTTGTGTTTATATGCACATCTCAAAGGTCTCCAATGTTTGGGTGACACATTTGAAGTGGAATAGCTATGTTTCAGTAATCTGCCACATCTGAGGACCGGCTTTTGAGTCATGTTGATGTACGTACCTTGATGTACTGGGTTATGAACACCCCAATCCTGTCTTCAGTTTGTCTGCCTTGTGTGTCTTCTGTGTCTATTGTGTCTACTGTTAATATTCTATTGTTTTGTCAAATCACGTGAAATTGGTTGGTTGTCTGTTGTATCGCCCAATATCTGTTCAATGTTATTCGGCTTGGCGTATAGTGTAATGCGAAGGTTTCATCGTCTGTCTGACACTGAATTCTGTTTGGTGTCCCGTCCGTGACTGGTGCGTGTCCTCTCGTACCTCACACCTCACACTTTCACCGTGCACACTACATTCATTGCTAACTTTCGTCTCTTCTCGTTCCAGGTGATTCTACAAGACTCGTTCCTCGTGTGGGACAGCAAAGGTCTGATCAGGAAGGGCCGCGACCGCCACCTCTTTCTCTTTGACTTCTACCTGCTCTTCAGCAAGGAGATCAAGGACAACGGGAAGTCAAAGTACATCTACAAACATAAACTGATGGTGAGTTGTTGTCTCTAGGGTGGAGGGAGGGGTTAAAGTCTTCCGTGGCAAGGGCGACCAAAGCTTCGATGGCCACCATTCTGCGCGGAAATTTACAGAAATAATAATACATCCGACCCTGGAATTATGTGACATGCCGTTCAATCTACGGTGTCTTACGTCTTTGCCGGCAGCGGTCCTAGCTGATATATCAAGATTACTTGACATTGATTTGCTCAAACTCGTTTTGACGGGGACTGCATTTGCAGGACACTGCATGCGTAGATATATTTTGCATCTGGGTGTTCTTGGGAGGGCTATGCGTCGTTCGTTCAGACGTCCTGTCGGTTTCTATATGCTCCGTCATTCATTAACGTATAAATTCGCTATCAAAGTGATGAGACGTTCATTGTCAGCGGGCAAATCTCTGTATAATTTTCCGATTTTCGTGTTACATTTGCGTGTTACAAATGTGCTCACAATTGATGTACGTTTTTACGGATTTTGACTTGGTGCCGTAGCTTGAAACTGAGCGAACAGATAAGCTTAACTGCCCTGTTCTTTGAAGCGAGCGACCGAATCACTTTTAGAGGATTTGCGATGCTTTATTCAGAGCAATCGTTACGACTTGTCCTGTGTTTGCATTTAGCTGATGACCCATATCGATCACTGCTGAAACGCGTGGCTATCGACCTCGAATGGCCTTACAAGCTGTGCGTTTGCCGCGGCCGCCACGCACCGTTATCATAAGGGCGTGCCTATCGATTTGACGCCATCATCGGATCGGGTCGGAACCGCGCGCGCCACGGTCGGGCGGCCCACGCTGGTATCAGCGTCGTTACGGGCCGCCCCCGCGCTGCCGGAAAGCCGGCCGGATTTCTAACGAAATCTGCCGGAAAGTTTCGAGGTAATTTAGCGTGCATACCATGAGGAATGACATTGAATGGGATTCTTGCGTCAGAGACTTGTTAGAAATCGATACTTCAATTCATGAGGCTGTAAATGCAAGACATGGCTTAAATGCGTGGAAGTTATGCATATTGTGCGGCAAGCTAAGGACATAAAATAAGAGGAGAGCTTCCGCCTTAGTTCGTCTTTTATCGAGTGTATTTTATAGAATGTAGCCAGCAGCGACGTTTTGGTCTTTCCTGGCCTCTCAGCGGCGGCAGTAGCGGGAGGGCGTGGTCCGTGGTTTGGGGCAGACTCCGTCCCGGTCAAAGAGACGCGCTCCCGTGCTTGGTGTCCTGAGATTGGTGCGGCGCGGGGCGTGGCGCCCGACGTTTTCCGGGGCTTAGCAAGGAGCATGGTCTAGCATGCTGTCGTTTCAACCTTCTTCTGTGCTGTCTACTTATCGGATGCCCCGGGTGGGTTGGATTAGGGGAGGCTAGTGATGATTAGTCTTTGTCTAATCCCCATGACTAGTCAGACAGTAAATACTGTTAATTTAGCCACCAGTACCGTCTAACGACTTTCAGACCACTATGAGTTTCTCTAAGCCAGGCCGTCAGAGCTGTTAGAGCGTGGCAGGGGCGGTTGATCTCCGGCCAGTTACCGCCTGACGTGTCCAATACTCTCAACGATAGATCATCGGCACAGTTAATTGCTCGAGAAGTCATGCCGGCGCTGTCTGCTCGGCGGCGAAACCCCATTGATTTCGCCTGACTGGCCGATCGCTCCCGGGGTGCCTGATTGGTTCGGCGGCTCACATGCCGGAGCTGACGCATGCACGCTGTCGGCTCAGCGCTCGCACAACTGCTGACGGCTAGGATTCATCCCACGATCTCTCGGTAACAGACGTGTGCGGCGATGATAGGGTCTGTTCCTCTAGTGAAGGCGGAATTTGTGACTGGGACGGCAACAAAACTGACGAGGAAGCGATGCTGCGAGGCTCGTTTTCACGCTGCGAACGCGGCTGGCTCCGTTCGACTGATGCCGTCAGCCGCCGCAGTGCGAACAGACCGGCCGACAATGCGCCTGTCGGCATGTTTGTTTTCTTTGGTCGCCGGCGTTGCGTTCTGAGGTATATTTTCAGTAACAGCCGGGCACCGGCGGCCCTCCGTAGCAGGGTGCCTTGTCAGGACCGAGTCATGTCGTTAGGAAAGTTATTAACCGTCCCATGGCGAAACTTCAGCGAGGGCGTCGTCGGCGATGCTGAAGGAAACGGCACCACTGATGCGGCCATATCTGTAAAATGTATACCACCGGGGCAAGGGCGGGCCCGTGGGAATGGGGCTGGGAGGTTAAGGTCAGGCGGTGCCGCCCGCCGGCCTGGGTCAATAGTTCGGCCCGTGTCAACAAACTGAGACCGCGGGATTGGCCGCGCCGGCCGAGTTAGTAGACAGGCGGCAGTGTTTGAGTTGAGGCTAGCACGGCAGTTAAACACGTGATGCGGGCTTTAGTTATTTTTCAAACATTTTGGAGCTCATTTGATGACGTTTTACGGTTTGAAAGCGACCAATTTGCAGCATCATAGAGTGTGGAAAATCAAGGGCTTTTTTAGCTTATAGTTATTGGAAAGTAAAAAAGCACGCTCACACAGCAGCTGTGGTTACACAGAAAACGGCTCACCAGCGGTACAAGTAGGAACAGGGCTCGGCCGCTCGTTTTTTTACCAACTACACAGTGGTCGGTCGAGGCTAGGTTTCTGCCCAGTCGCCATCTTCATTATTAAGCGGCGGTGCCGATCGTTATTACAGCTCGCTGGCTCAGCGGCGTCGCCGCTCCGCTGCTCACTGCCGCTGCCGCTGTGGATCTGTAGCAGCTAGGCTAGGCAGTCACGGTGCGAGCTATATATGTCAGGTAATGTCTTAGTATTTCCGCATACCATCCGATTTGACAAACAGCAAGGATTGATAATGGTGCGGTCATTGTCGAAGTTTTTAGGTTTTCGCTGCACATTGTCTTTACATTATGAGTCTGTAGGTACTCTCAGTTCTGGGCATCAAAATTCAACATAGCTTAAAAACTATTGAAAATGAAACCGTGCTACAATCCGGAAAATAATACTCTGGATGCTGAAGCAGGCCGTTTGTAATATCCCCGGGTGCTCTGCTAGTGGTCGCGGAGTCCACCCAGGCAGTTTGGTGGCCGAAAACTGCCGACTGGCTGTGAAAACTGCCGTCCGAGCGGGGCCGGTCGAAATGAGGCCGAACACGGCAGCACGACGGCGGATGGGTCGGCAGCGTGCTATGCATTGATGAGCCGGGGCCTAGCGGCGCGGGCACCTGAGCGCCTGTGTCTGGATGGTCCTGTAAGACAAAGATGTCGCCGGCGGGGCGGGGGCTGAGGAAGCAGCGCGGGTCTCAGAGGGGGCTGACCCAGCGGATCGCCGCGGATAATGCTGTTCTGTCCCGGGCGTGGTCGGTCCTCTGGAACGGTCAGCCTCATGGTAACAGTTAGCGGTCGGCGAGTATCCCGAAAATACCGCACTCTGGTCAGTGACCGGTGAGGTGTGCTTAGTTGAACTGTGTTCGGGTGCGCAGGTCACATTTGCTCGTTAGAACTTGTGCTTCGCGATTATTTAGTTACTATAAATGTCCTCCCTTCAATATGAACTGCAGTTAGATTGCTTCCTTCATATGCGAACCGCTCTATATTGCTGCTTTAATTGGATATTGCGAAACATGCCATAATTTTACAAGCCATATTCCATTATGCGTCGTTCGTCGGTTTTTCGTGTGTTGCTGCTAGCGTGGATGGTCGGCATCGAACGATGTCGCGGTGTTCCTGTTTGTAATTAACTGATGTACTCGTAATTTGGTTATTTATGCACTTACGGATAAGCAACCGTGCTTGCATGGCTGTATCTGGAGCGAGAATTTGAGGAAATGCAATTTAACTCACATTTTGCTCAGGTACTCGTTTGAAGGCTTGTTTGTTGCTTGACGTGGGCAGGAGTGTCCTCATGTTCTCACTATGTGATTATGTGACTTCCTCACTCGTATGACTGCCCCTCAATCTACATATAGGACTCATTCTAAGCGATACTTATTGACCGTCGACTGGCCCCGATTTCTGTCTGCCTTCACAGACGTCCGACATTGGTGTCACGGAGCATGTGGAGGGCGACGAGTGCAAGTTTGCCGTCTGGACTGGACGGCCGCCACTCAACGACATGAAAATTCTACTCAAGGTGGGCCACCGAACGCGGCGCGAATGGGGAAGCATAGCACTAAACAACATTCGAAATGGTGTCACAATGGCCATCGATGACCATAACAATGTCACTATGGTCCGGGGATACGTGTGGCGTGATCAGTATAGAAATGCTCCAGTGATTCAGCACAATATCCTGCATTTGGCAAGCTGACTGCCTTCAACTGCAAGCATTGGAATCATGTCCACAAGTTGCACCACCCAACCAGCATTTCGAACGGCGCAGTTGACAGAACCCTTCCCGGGAGTTCACCCGAACGCCGATCACGGCCCTTGTCAGTGATGATGCCCTTACTGACACATTCGCCAGCGGGGGATCCCGACTATGTACACGTCAGTCTGAGGCTGATTTCAGTCACGTCTCAACTTCTGGACAATGTCATGTCTGCGTCTGACCTTCTATAGAGCCTTGGTCAGACCCCTGAGTGGGCTAGGGTCTGCGGCGGAGGACGCTCAGCCGTCAGAGCCCATCCTTCCACCGCTCGAGCAGCCGCTGATGGAAGCTATAACCGTATGAACTGATGGGTTTACGGCGAGTGACCTTATCAGACGCGGCCAATGTGTGGGAGGGTGCGGGCTAAATGGCTGTGCTGGGGTCAGGACGTGTACCATGGTGCAACGACGGGTCCATTTTTAGACGATGTGCTGGTCGGTTAAAATTGGAGTAGATAGCCGTTCGATGTGATATTTTAATGTCATTTTTGTCTGATACGCAGTAACGTCATGGTGCATGCACGTCAGTAACGTATGGTTTCTAAATTGGGAAATGCATGCAACTAGAAAAATGGATTGGTTAAGTTACTTGAATTCCTTCACAGCATCTATATACGTTTGGTTTCTATTCTTGGCACGATCATCAAGTTATGAAATGCGTATCGCATTATTACGTTACATCGTAGGTATTCACATGCCAACTGTCGCGACTCCACGCAGCCCACAGCGACATTGAAGGTCGTACAATGACCGCCGGTGCCATCACAGTTCTATGACACGTTGGACGGGCGGCGACGGTTCGATACCGGGCCGGTACGGCGGCCCCTGGGGATGGCGGTTACCGCCCGGCAGTTATACGGACACCGTACTGTCACAATGCAGTTACCATACGGATACCACAGACCCCTGCACCACTGCAGCGGGCCGACACTGGGGTCCCCTGGGAATAGTGGTTACCGCCCGTCTTATATAACGGGTGTCAAGTCCAAAATGAGACAAAATTGAAATCGCTCTATTTTCAACCTCCCTTTAGATATTCACCTGAAATTTGGACAGAATGTCCATACGTGAATTGCACGAGCATGCTGTTAAAATATTGTGGCTACGTATTGAGGTCAGTCGTCATGAAGCCTTTGAGCAAGCAAGCCGCAAGAGACATTGTCGCGAGAGTAGTTGACAAAACCCGAACTTGACTAAGGCTCAGGTTTTCCGCCACGTTAAATCGCTTGGTATTCCACGACCGACTGATATATCGCGTTATCAATACCTTCCTAGACAAAGGACACATACGACGAGCTCAGAATGACAGGCCTGCTCCCAAAATGTCAGCAAAGAGGCGCCAAGGCCTTGTTCGCATGGCAGACGGCAAAGTCGGCGTCTCACTTCGTCTCTTAGGCCTCAGCTTTGGCATAACGCATGACAGAGTGAGACACATTCTCAGAGAGAAAGGGGTAAGATATAAGATGCGCCAGAAAGCTCCTCCGGTATCTGCTCAGCGAGAACAATCTCAAAAGGGCCGCCTGCGACCCCTTAGCCGGGGAAAACTGAGTGCCACTCGAGAGCAAGATGCCATCATGGACGATGAAAGCTACTTCAGTACTTCACCTACACTGGCTCAGAAATGCCACAAAACCGTGGTTTTTACGCTGGGCCTGGTGGAGACATACCTTCGAATGTGACGTACCGTCCGATTGGAAAGTTCCCACGTAAGCTTCTTGTGTGGATAGCCATATCACCCAGGGAGTAGCAAAACCAACAATTTGCCCCAGTTCAACAAATGTTAGCGCCCATGTCTACATCACAAAGTGCCTGAACAGCAAACTCAAACCGTTCATCGAGGAGAGCAACCGAAGGGGTGGATATGCATTTTGGCCAGACTTGGCTTCAGCTCATTATGCACGTGCCACGTGCCAGTTTCTGGAGGAGGCTGGCATACCTGATATTTAATCCGCTAGGAAAACCCGCCGAATGTCCCGCAGCTGGGACCAATTGAGGACTTCTTGGGCATACTTAAACTAGTCTACCGTGGTGGCTGGACAGCGTCATCCGATCAGCAGCTGCGTGCCAGAATCCTGAGCAGCATCAATAAAATTGTCCCGGAGGTGCCGCGATCGATAATGAAGATAGCAGGAGAGCACGTGCGTCTGGCAGACAGGCATGGACCCCTGGTTCAAATTCATTAGTACCAGTGGACTGGCGACAGAACAAGGTATATGTGGTGAAAGTTTCGTTAAAATATCTAATAATACACAGTGTCTACCTTAATTTTGCGTTTGTCCCATTTTGAACTTGACACCCGTTACGAATACCGCACACACGGCCACTGTCAACCCCTGTACGGACACCGATCATGACACACCTTACGGTCGCTGAGGAGTCATCCTTCCGTGGTATGACCATTTTAACCGGCCACCGCTACACTGACTAGCGGTGCGGCCGGTCGTTTCCTTTGTCCTCGGGATGGTGATGTTATTGGAACGGAACTGCTGCGCGAGAGATGGGAAATTGTGGCAGGCAGGACAGTGGGCAGTAATTTCCCCATAATGTATTGTAGAGAATTGCCCAAAGCATTGGGCCAGGTGTGTCAATCCTCGGGGCACTATGTATCGTCCCTTTCAGCATATATAATGCGAATGTAACAACGCTGTTACCAAGCGCCTAAGTTGTTATTATGCCAGCCGTGCTCATTATGGTAATTGCGATCAAGCGCTATCTAATTTGCATCTGCTTGACAAACACTATCAGGTTAAGATTAAGTGACGACAGCGCTTATATGCATAACATGATTATATTTGCTTCCGCATGTAGTTCTGCAGTGGGTATAATTGCTCTAAATATTAATTCCAGGCTGTTATAACTGATGCCCTAGATAAAATAATCTCAGCCACGCAGTATGTAATATGCTATGCATGCTGGCTGCTGATGCTAAATTGTTGTCCAACTCGTCACCTTTGATATGTCTGATTGGGCCTCTGACGGTTCGCTTTGACTATACGACTCGCTTATGATCTCTTCACTTCCTTCCTGCCCAGACCACACCACTCAACACCACCTACTGAACTGACCCCACCGCCCGTATCCACCTACCAAACTAACCGCACCACCCATCTCCACCTACCGAACTGACCGCACCACCCGTCACCAGTTACCAAACTAACCACATCACCCGTCACCAGTTACCAAACTAACTGCACCACCCGTCTCCACCCCCAGGCCAGCAGTCTAGAGGTGAAGCAGCAGTGGGTGAAGCGACTCCGGGAGCTGATCCAGGAGACGTGCTTCCGCTCCTCGCTGCCACTACAGATCCCACCGTCACCGTCCAAGAAGGCGAACAAGGCCAGCAGGTGAGTGATAGTCTGCAGGTGGTAATAGGACAGTGAGGCGGAAGGGAGGGAGGAAGTATTGGTGAACACTCAGCGAGCGTAATGGGAACAAGAGGACAGAAAGGGTATTGTGAGATGATAATTGTGAGCTGATTAAATTGGTGTTTTATAGAAGTTATGTTTATTTCTCGCGTGCGTGCTAATTAACCCTCGCCCCGTTGGGGGAGGGGCCATTTTGGCCCCCCCCCTGTGGTTTTTCCTGAATAGCAAGAAAACGGCGGCGCGCAGCGCCGCCAAATTTTCAGTACCTTTCCGGGCATCAATTTGACACCTTCACACCAAATTTCAAGTCTTAGGTCACCTTAGGTCAGGAGTTATTGAGGTCAAACTGAGGTCATGTTCGAGCAAAAATGAGCAAAAAACATGCAATCTTGAAACGCTCACCAAATCTACAGTTATCAAGCAATTTCAAAGTTCTTTATATGGTCTAATAGACAAAAAGCGGCGCTACAAAACTGCTATCTCGGATTTTCAAAATTTTGGGTTTTTGACCCAAAAAATTTCAAAAATTGATTTTTTTAGAAAAACTAAAAAAAATCCAAAATTTTTCCGAATTTCGAAAAAATCGGAATATATGTGATAGTCCCTGCGCTCTTCTATATACATACCAAATTTCATATCGATATCTCGTTTTTTGGCCAAGTTATAGCGAAAAAACTGTTCAAAAATGATGACGTCAAATTTTTTAACTCAATTTTTAGCGATTCTAGACCTCGTACGGCAAAACAAAGACCACCATTGAACTCCCCGTGACGAGCTGCATCGATTCGATACCCATTTTATGCAAAAATATCAACTTTGAAATTTGACCTAATTTGACCTGACCTTGACCTGACCTTGACCAAAACGTGACCTAAGCTGGCCCCAAAGGCTGCCTGACCCACATAATCGCATTTGTCATGTAAAATGGACCATAAAACATGTATCACACGACACTTTCATATTGTGACCCCCCAGTGACCTGACCTCAGTGACCTGACCTGGTATCAGTGACCTCAACTAGCAAAATATGTGTTTGAAGAACATTTCCCCATCGATGATTTTCAATGAAATGCATTTTACTCGATTTTACAACGCATTTCTTGAAATGCCTGTAAACGGTGAAAATTGGACCTTTGACCTGACCTGTGACGTCATCGGTTTGACCTAGGTCAATAAAATTGGGTCACAAGGTAGTTCCCTGATAGGGCTATCCAACACCGTTTGCCGCTTGTCGCTACGTTGCGTGGTTCTCGAGATCTTAGGGGGGGGGGCCAAAATGCCCCCCCCCCAACGGGGCGCGTTGCTCGGCAGAGCCCAACGGGGCGCGGGTTAAAAGCAGTGGATAATAGATGCAAAACTGAACATTCTTCCATCGCTACTAGAGTTAACGTCGAGCGAGACTGACCTTGCCAGTTTCAAGAATGCATTTGGGATCGCAAATTGAATTAAGTCTGTGATTTCCTCACGGGGCTCCTAAGAATATCTCGCATGCCTGAACCAGTGCTACGGTCGGGATGTCTCCCTGGTTGGTCGTGATGACGACAGCAAGGATTGCATAGAGTTAAAAACAGATGTGTGGCAACTTGACCTTGTTTGCCTCGCTCCGCTAGAGCCTAAAGTGGACTCTGCGAGATCTTGTATCCAGTATTATTGGATGCGATCCGTAATTGGGATGTTTTTCTTTAGACTCCAATGCAGTTTCCAGAAACTGGCAAAAAGTGTTTCAGCTACCACCAAGGCGAATTGCACCAAGGGCTTCTCAAAACAAGCTAACTCACTTTGGAACACCTTCCTAGCAACCGGCAGAGGCTATGTATATAAATCGTGCTCTTGGGAAGCGGTGTCGCACGAGAAATGCATGGTCTCCCGGAATTCCACCTCTCGGGACGCCGAGTTCATTTGATGTCGAAAGTGCGAGTCGCTCAGGGTACTTGAGGCCTGCTTTGAAGGGTTGTTACGGTGAAGGAGCGCTGATTCTACCTGCGGGGTCGCTGCCTCTTTCTGACGGCTAGGATTGCTGACGAACTGAGACAGAACTTGTCAAGTATGTGCGAGAGTGCTGTATTCGTGACCTGTCTATAACGAATTGTGCCAAACATGATAGCAAAAATCACGATTTTTCTGCTTGCCAATTTTCCCACCCAACTACCGTAGATACTCAGTGCTTGATAGCATATAACTGTCATACCCACTATCCACTACCTGCGCTGTCCATGATATTCCGGCCTTTGCCACCGTTACCTTCATCATCACTACAGCGGCAATGCCAGGCGTCTTCCCTACCACCCACTATAGCTCCCCCTCATATCACCATTGATCCACTCACGGCGTATGATGTATAGCGACGGCGACAATATCACCCACGTCGTCTGGACATTGGCCTGCAGACATGGAGGAGAGAGACGCAATAGCCGCGGCGCTGCCTGGGACCGATCCGCTCTGGGTCTGTCTGTCTCCTCTGGGGAGGGAGAGAGGTCAGCTCTAGGGAGCTGGGGAGGAGAGAGAGGGAGATTCTCGCAGACGTGGCGCCGCGCTAGGTAATTGTAATCTCATCATATCAGCGCTTCTCGCTACTGTCTAGCAGAAGCGAGGCGATGGTCTCGTTAGGTGCGTCGTACCGTCGTGGCGTTGATAGACGTGTGAGCGGTATATCGACCAGGCGACGTTAGTCGTGATTTGTGTGTGTTAGGGGGGGGGGGTGCGTATCTAGTCCGGATGCGTGTCATGAGGAGGGGGAGTGGGGGGGGGGATGCTGCTGATGACACGTTAGGTATACATCACTCTGAGCCTTCCGTAATACCTTTGTTTGTGGACCACGCCGGTGGCTGCGTGTGATAAGAGTATGGGCCGGCCGCCGTGTGTGTGCGTAGCGGGGACTGATGCGGGACGAACTACGTGAGGCCAGGATAATGAACAAGCGATGGACGGCAGCCCAAATGAGCCATTATGAATATGTTGGAATGTCGAGGTGAAGAGTGGTTAATAGGTTATCTAAGGGTACGGAAGGGTGAGCTGGCCTCTGGACAGTCTGAAGCTCGTACCAAACGGCTGTGGTGTGGGGTCTGATGGTGAGCAGCTCTGAGTTCGTAGCTCTCACGTGGTGCGCATTGTGGCGCCATCACCAGTTTCCATCGGCGTGAAATTTGCAAACGATGCAGCAGATAAAAGAGGCCCTCTCTTCGGACGATTAGCTTCCCTCTCATAGAGGGAAACTAATCTCATAGAGGGAAACTAATCTCATAGAGGGAAACTAATCGTCCGAATGCTTTTAAAATGTGTAGCTTGCGGGCAGGTTGATGTGGGAATAGTGTTTCATTCTTCAAATGCCTACGTTTTAATTTTCATTCATATTTGCGCCACTTCAATTAGCTGAGCACTTTGTAAATTAGAGTGAGGATCATGTCAGTACGTCCCACCACGAAATGAAGATGGAATCGGTTCACAGAACTGCTGTGATGGCGTTAATTGAAAAGGAATTGCACTCGGCCCAGCAGAACTTCGTTGTATGACAAAAAAAAAAAAAATATGCTTACGAATGGCTAGGAACTGATGGCTCACCTCACAGCTCGAGTATTTGAAGTGTTTCTTCTTCTTCTAGTAGCATTTACTTTATCTTCAGACATCATGTTATTTCAATTCCATATCACTTTGACATAGTTATCCATCACCGTAGCTGACAGTGGCTTTAACTGTATTCCGATTAAATCAGAATAGCTGCCGCTCTGGTGTCTGTGGTACTGGCCGTCGTTGTTCGTCCAATTCGCTATCAGCCCTAGTGCATGCGATGGACGACGGCACTAACCCGACCTGAAACCCTCTGTTAGCATATGCTATTCCTACCGTCTCTTCGGGCACCGCTTATGGTCTCAGAAGTTTGCTCGTTGCGCCTTGACCCCCTCCCGCTTCACTGTTCCGCTGTCTCGACAGTCCTCCATTACCCCAGCTGTCCCCGTCCCCACCACTTCCGCTCCCTCTCTATTTCACCCCTCCCCACCCTCCATCACCCGCCGCGCACGACAGGTGTCCTCCCGCCTTCTGACCTTTTCGTGTCCCGGGGCGCTTCCAGCGGTGACCGCAGAAAGGTCACAAAGATTTGATTAATCTGCTCACAGCAGGGTTCGGTCGCCGGCGGACGGGGGTGCTGGTAACAACGAGACAGTGTCACCGCTCTGGGTTTCCCGGCGCTATGGGCGGGCCCAGCTGTGTGTGGTGTTGTGTCGCTGTGACCTTTCCGTCAGCGTGATGATGTTTATATCCGCGCCGTTTGACAACAGTGATAATGTTGACCCGTGTGTTAAGGGGCGGGCGGGATGAGGTGCTATGCTGATGTTTGCTCTGATGTCAGTTGTTCTGACCTGTCTGCTGTACGTTGCTGTTGACCTGTCGTTCAGTGAGCTGACCCGTGGTGACCTTGTTTCCCAGGGAGTTGGACGACCTACAACTGGAGGCCGACCACGAGCTGGGCTCCCTGCAGTCGTTCGGTTCAGCCAGCGGTCACTCGGATTCAGACAAGGTCAGTCCGGATGGTGAATGGGGGACTTTAACGGCGCACGAGCTGTCATGGGGGGGGGGGGGGGGGCTATTCCAGCTGTCCGATACCGTGTATCCGGTGCGCTCGATCTGATACCGCTCCATTGGCATCTAAACTTGGTCTTTATTGAGAGTAAAGGTATTGGGTGTGAGCGTGCATATTTAGCGTCTTTCTTCTTTCTCTGTTTTGCTTTTACTTCGTTTAACCTCCGAGTGGTGCCGGAATGTTACTCTGTGTTCTCAAGAAATGTGTTGGCAAGAAGCCGAAATTCAACTACTCACGCATTAGAACGAGTCTGTCAATTTCTGCAGCTCTGTAACTCCCATCCCGCTGCGCTGCGGGCCGGTCTCGACTGCAGGGTCATTTGGCCGGCGTTAGCGTCAGTTAGCAGCCGTGTACGTCATTTGGTGGCAGCTTAACGACCGCCGCCCGCCGGGGCCTCTTGCTGCCGAGCCGTGTACTCAGCCCGGTAATGGTCTGGGCCACCACCCCGCCGCTACCGCCGCCGGGCGGGGACCGGGGAGGGGTTTGTTTACTCTGTGTTGGGTGTCTTGGACAGGCGTCGGCGTTTCGATACGATCATTGACGTGACGGGGGTTTGTTTTGGGGTGGTGCTGAGCGGCCTTTTGGCGAGCCGCGGACCGGACCGGTGTGCGCCCGATGCGCCGGAGTCAGAGGATCCACTGCCGTCGACAAAAGATCAGACACCACACGGAAGCTATGCGGGTCGAGAGTGCCGTGAGCTGTTTAGTAGATCTACCGCCATCGCATCAGACATTCGACTCAGACCGCGGCGCTATGGCAGGGTAGTCGCAGTGGAGATGTGTGGAGGCGTTATTCCAGGGTCAGAGTGCGACAATGGGTAAGATGAATCAACCTTGTTTGCATTCTTAGCTGAGCGATACTGACAAACATCTTTTGTTTTTGCGTTTATTTTATTCGCTTTTGTTTTCAGCAACTAATCCCAGCTATCGATTCGGCCAATGTTTATGCCGGTGCGCGTATCCCAATTGCCAACAAATCTCGGGGGTCTCCACACAATATGCCTGGGTGCGCTGCGTCGGTCCGTGCCGATTTCCCTTCCGTAGCGGAGTAGCCTTGTGTGCTTCTACGGACGGATGCCTCTCGGAGCCTGTTGGGAAAAGGGAGGACGATTTTTATTTAAGTTATATTATTTTACATTGTTAATAACGTTAAGACCGTACTGAAGATGCGTTACTGCTCATTTCGTTTTGCTTTCAGAAATGTAACTAAATCAAACTGGCACTCTAAAAGGTAGTTAGTGCTTGCGATTCCTTCTCTACTCTGGTTTCGTTCTGAAATAGACGGAGCTCCCGATGAGCTCAGCCTTATTCTCAATTCTGCGCACGTTTGTGCGTGGCCATTCGGGGCAGACTGCATTTGCATGTAGCCAAGGTCAGTGTATCTTTAATGCCGTCGTATGTTTTCCATTGTAAATGTTGTCTGGGTAGTCATACCAAAGGGAAATCACAGTGTTTGTGTTTGAGCAGCGGGTGATACAACCGACGGAAAGTTTTGGAGAGTTGGCTCTGATTTTGGATGTCGGTAGAGCTGATTTAGTGAGAATTGTTCTGGCACCCTGGATGCACCGTCATTAATTCTAATTTCCGAGCTAACTTCCCTAACGAAGCTATTCCTGGATTAGGCCGGGGGACAAGCTATGCCCACACCGCAGTTCAATAATTTCTCGGGGTGGGCCCATGCTAAAGCCCCTTCCTTTCTGCTCGGGGTTATACTGGGGCGCAAATAAACCGAAACAGCCTCAATGGCCGTAGCTCACCATAGCTGTCATATTTGCTTTGAGCTTAACTGCGTTATGGTTGGTTTGGTAGCCCGGCTCCACTCAATGCCTCGCTAATGGCGCGGCGCAGTCAGCTCAGTGAGGCTTCATTTTGAAGGCCAGCCATTTGTTATTCACCATTGTTGGCGTTCCGAAATGAGGAAAATGACTGTTGATTTGAGATAGGGCGCTCTGTTTTGTTGCTCCACCGTGCTCGGAATGTCACTATTTCATCAGGAAGCTGCTTGCTGCGAGTTTTTATTGTTATTTTCCATATGACAATAACTTTTGCATTCGAAATTCATTTAAAGGAAACATCTCAGTATCATTTGTCCACTTCTTTACTTTACTTTGTCGCCATGAAACTGCCCCTGTACTCTGTAGTGTGGTGCTTTCGCTTCGTAAGCAGACTCGTGTTTCCGCAGCCATCAGCGAAGAAGTTTTAAGCTGCTTTTGAGCTTAGAGCGGGCCGCATAAATGATGAGGCTCACTGTATTTTCACCGACTTTCGTACGGCAGGATGAGTCATCAGCTGTCAGCACCGCCCGCACGGTCGGCCAACTCACGGGTATATGTTTTACCCTGGCCAAGTTTCTCCTTGGTGTTGACGTGTGGAATAGGGAGGGCTTACCTTGCGCTATTTTTGAAAGAAGTTGTCCACGCGACACTAGTCATCGAACAAATGAAAGGTTGAAGGCGCAGCTTTTTACTCGTGAAATGCTCCAAATGGTGTTTTTATGTCTTTAAAAATGTTCTCTGTGTTAGACATGATATTTCCATATGCATTCCTTTAGATTTAAATCATTTTTAGATCACTCCAGCCCTGAGTTTTTTTCTGAAAGTTTATTTGGTATCGATTAAAATTACCACAGGTGTGAGGTGAACCGGGCACGGGCAAGGTCGGGTGATGGCCGGTCCATGGTGTCATTCGCAACAAGCACCGCTTAGCCGGGCTCTCGGGCTTACAGCCATCCATTCATTCTTTCTTCAAAATTTCTTTAAAATGAAATAAATAAAATGTTTCTGGCGATATTGCATCTTGCTCAGAGACTTCATCATGTTGTAATACACTCCACTTCATTCCGTCCGTTCACCAGACACCGTCGATTACATGCTCCGTCACGATGAAATGGTTATGGGCAGTGGGCACTGAATAAACCTTGTCTGATTCGATAGCACAGAAAACAAGAAGATATGGATCCGCTGTCCGATTTAGGTCATCCGGAAACGTCACTGTTTGCTCGATAAAGGACCACGAACGCTGCTCAAACGGCCCTCGCGGCTTCAGACTGTCCGTTGGAGATCTGAGGCCGTGTCCGTGGAGAACGGAGGCCATGCCCATATTAGAGAGGTTTGGTTTATCGGAGGGCGAAGGCGCAGGAGCGGAGGCGGAGCAGCGCATTTTCTGTCTTAACAAAACCAGTGTCCACGGGATCATGACACTGGTGTCTGTAAGAGAAACGATCGCCCCTCTGTCGCCTGCTCGGAGGGTGCCGTCCGACGGAGCAGCCTCGTCACATCCAATCGGGCGGCGGTCACTGCGGGATTTCCGCCAATCACACGGCTGGTGATTGTCCACCGGTCATTGCGGTGGTGTGATGGGGCCGCCCAACTTTGCACCGTCCGGCTTCGGGTCGGGTCGGGTCGCATCGCGGAGCTGGCGCCCGGTCAGCAATTCGGGGTATTTTTTTAGAGGCTCCCGGCGAGATGTCATGGAATGTTGTATTTGGGTGTCAAATGTAAAGGATGCTGTGTGATATGCTGATGTCGGGCGTCTTTGTTTGCTCAATGCTCATGCCTTTATCAATGTAACATGATTTGGCCGTAGCGTAATTTGAGGGAGTCATATATCGAGCGGGTGTATTCGAGGTCGGTGGAGGCCGGAGGAGCTCATTACAAATCACAAGCGGTGGAGATATGAAAGGGAGTAATGTTTAATTATTCATCCTTAAGCATACACAACGTAAAGCAGGCCATCCTCGCTTTGAGCAGGACTATGTTTGGCTTTATGTTCCTCCCAGTATCCTCGGAAACGGAGAGCCACATTCATCGCAATCTGGGCAGAATAATCCTCCCGCATTTATCGTGGATCCGTTTGGACGCCTCATCCATCCTTTCGCCTCACGATTTGTCTTCCGGGGCTTTAATGACTGTGGACTCGCGCCTACGTTCTTTGGACTGTGTCAGACCTGGTCATTCCGACTATTCTTGAGTAGCGAAACATTTGGTAGATTCAGTAGTTTTAGCTGGTATCCATCTCCGTGACAAGTTCTCCACCCCCAAAAAAAGAAAGTTGTGATCGCGCTATGCGTAAGTTTTATTCTTCTTTTTCCTTGTTAATGCAGATTTGGATGGCTGGACTTGCTCACTTTTTCGATGGGATAGGCAAGGCATCGTTGTCACTCGTGCTTGATTGCCCGGTAGCGCCCGTAGTCTGACCCCTACGTGTCGTTTGCCAATCTATTTCGATTCGGTTTTGTTTAAGCGTTCGTATCGGTTCTAAGTAGTAACCATCAACTATACTACCACTTCCTCCTTCGCACTTCACAAATACCTCCCCCACCACCCACCCTCGCTGTCGCGGTCTGCGCCGACCCGTCCGCCGGCGTCTGCCCGTCGCCCGTCGCCCGCCGTCTGCCGGTCGGCCGCGTCGGCGGGGTCACCTGACGGGCCGGCGGGCCCGGCGGCAGTGCTGTCCGGCGGCCGACGGTGGCGCGTTCGTGCGCGGCCCGCGCCGTCACCGCCGGCACCCCCAGCTCAGTCGCAGCGATAGCGGCGAGCTGTACGACGGGGCGCTGTCCTCCGTGAGAGTGACGAGGAGACGTGTAAGGTGGTGGGTTGGTTTAGTGTGGTTGACCAGAGCGGAAGTGAGAAACGGGGGTGAAGGAGCTGTGGTTGAATGCGGATGAGGTGGTGTGATCTGCCCCAAAGCGGGGTGATCTTGGAGTAGCGCGTTCAGTGACGGTGTGCGCGTAAGGTGGGTGGTGACCACTACTGCCAGAGCGAAAAGCGGGCGAAGGAGTGTTTTGTGTGCGTGTGTCTGTGAGCGTTGGCGAGCGACATGGCGACCAAGTCGAAGGCGCGCCGTAAGATCTCTCTGCCGTGGTTCCGGCAATCGTCGTTTGTGGCCAACTTCCCGCTGTTCCGACAGCACACGATCGACACGCCGAGAGGGTTCAGA